CATAAAATAAATACTCTAAATACGCAATAAATCATCTATTAAAAAAATAATATGCAAGGTGTTCCATTTAAAAAAAAACGAAGAAAAATTATTTTATATTTTAGAAAGTTTGGCGTCGCTTAACTTTCAGAGCTGGACCTTTACAAATTAGTTTAATGGAAACTTTCCAGCGAATAAAAATACTATATAATAAATCAAATATTGTCTTATGGTCATTGAGCAATAACGACATATACTACATCATTGTAACCATTTCGAAATGTTTTTGTCGGTTTTACTTGACACAAAAATAATTTTTGTTCACTTCGTATTTTGCCTTTCAAAAATTTTTGAACTTGAAATTTTGAAACATCTTGTACATTATTTTTTTAATAGATGGGGCATTAAAAAATGAACATTTTTTGCATGTAGAGTATTTCGAAATTTTTAACGGTTTCGCAGATATTCGCGGTTTTATATTTTATATGGCATTTTCCAGAGTAAGTAAATTTTTATCAAAGCTAACCAATGATTTTTCTCTAGTATTTTAACGTTGAAAGAGCCATATGAAATAGTACCACCAGTATCTGCGAAGCCGTTAAAATTTTAGAAATACTCTAAATACAAAATAAATCATGTATTTAAAAAATATTATACAGAGTGTTCCATTTAAAAAAACGAAGAAAATTTATTTTATATTTTAGAAAGGTTGGCGTAGAATTTTGAACACCCTCTATGATTTAAGATTACGGCATTTATAGCAAAATAAGTATAGATCATCTAAAGTAAATACCTAATATATTTTTGATTCCCGGACAGTTCTTGTATTTTTAATAACTTTTTTAAGAAGGCTGAAAAAAAATTTTTTTTTTGTTTATTAATATCTCTAAAAATATCTTAAAATTATGTAAAGTGATCAGAAAAAAACCAAAAATGTAATAATATACAGGATGTTCCATTAAAAAAAAAATCATCCCAATCCTCTCACTTTTTTGAGCCACCTTGTAGAGGTTAAAGATGCCCAACGAACTATTGGCGGACTCTGGATATCTTTTTTTTGTATACAAAAAAAATGTATATCTTAAAATAAGCTTCAGAAGTGTGGCACATAATATCTTATAAGTAGCAAACCAAATTTAATTAAAGAAATATTATTAGTTTAATATCAATTAAACAATAAGTGATGTATCGGAAAAGTGGAAAGATTTCAATAATTAATCAGTTAATTCATTTTAAAATAAATATTTAGTACGTGTTAGGTCAGTGAGCTTGCATACAACTTTATTACAGAAATGAATCTTTTACGTCATATAGATTAGAAATATTTGTTACAAAACTTAGAGAAATAAGTCAACATAAAGACGCAACAAAAGAAAAATAATAATTTCCTAATAATTGAATAACTCTTCGTCAAGACTTAGCTCTGCCTTGATGATTGAGGGCTTTCAAATATTATTCTTGTACTGATATTTCTGTCAAATGTGGGAACAATGCACGATGTAAAAAAGACGGTTGTTTACATTACCTAAATATACTTAAAGTACGTCTACTGGATCTGTGTCTACGAAAAGAATGAGGACAAACATTTAAATAAACAGCAATATTTTTGGCAATATATTTTATAAATCGCTACCTATAGGCTTGGTGTAGGTATTTCAGTTGATTTCAACAAATTCCGACCGCAGCTCTTCAACGGCAAAAATCTGAAATTATCCGTACCTATTTCACGCCGCCGCGCCGGGCCGCGCCAGCGCCGTCGTGTTGATCGCATGAAAATAATATTGAAATTGTGATTTTGTCATAATATTTAAATATTATGATTTTTTGCTAGTGCAGTTATTGAGACTATAAAACACTCAGGGTGCGAGGTTTGTGTGATGTAACGCTGTTTCGGGTAGTAAAAAATAAATAAAAAAGAATTCCAACTAGACGTCGTGTTGTGTTGTGACAACTTCAAATGTTAATAAGATTGCTAATGTTAAGGCGTAAAGCAGAGCCTTAATTCGGGCGTTGTTGGGCGCAGTAACATTAAATAACTCAACTTTCCCGGATATTCAACTCTCCCGAAACAACATTTTATAGCTTCATAGTTCCTCACACCGATTTAATCAACAGCAAAAATAGATTCAAGCAGTTCGACAAAAAAAAGTGAGTAACAGCGCTTTCAGATGGAGCGGACCGTCCGACGGCTATCTTGAAGAAACACGCGGACGATCCGCGCGGACGCTCCGCTATATCTAACAGCGCTTTCAGATGGAGCGGAGCGTCCGCGACTTCGAGCAAGTACCATGAGTTTATATGAACAATTTCACATGGGTCGCGTATGCTCCGTCCGGATGAGTTCGTCGACTATCTTGAAAAAACATCCGCGCGGACGGTCCGCTCCATCTGAAAGCGCTGTAAAGCACTGTTAAGCACAAGTGCTCGTTACACAATCAAAAAATTAAATAGACATATACTTCGGGGGGATAAAATATAATTTGCAATATTAATGGTATACTTTTTTAAATCAACTAGTGATTAAATGTTTTTTATGAACATCTTCTAAAATTATAATTATGTACCTTTCAAAATTTCGTTATAGCCAAAATAGCCCCAATTATGCCCCACTAGCAAAACCGCTGATTAAAACAATGCTCGCTACCGTAGTTGAACTCATCTAAAAAGTTCTTTTTAAGTGGAATAATAAATTATAATAAAAGTTAGACTTTCTAAAGATATCAAAATATTTACTTTTTTATTTTTATTTTTAAAATTTTCACAAATTATACTTCCTAACACTTTTAGAATAATTAAATAATAAATTTTTCGTATTCTCGCTATTTAAACCCGTCTATTTCTAAGTATTAGTTGTTTACGATATTCTCCGATGGTAGCAGCACCGGTGGAGAATGCACCAAGCCTACATAGAAGCGGCAGAGCGTCTAGGTGAACTTGACGAGTATGTCACCGCAAAACATTCCGCCCACTCATTCCATCAGCTACTTGCAAATTTATCGAATTTTTCGATAAATCTCGGTCGAGATTTCCGTCTATAAGAAGAGTACAATGCGTTTATAATGTACTGAACAAAGAGAGGACAGTAAACACGTTGCCAAACGTATGAAATAAACACAGTTTCTTGAACTGTGCACATCGCTAGGAGACGTGGAAGGGGATATAGCAGATTTGTCGCAGTTGACCGGTCGACCCAATCAATACCAAGGTTGCCACAAGCTACACAATTGTGTATTTTGCTACACATTTGCTTCCATGACTGCACAGCTACACCACAATGGCCTGTGCTACACATTTTGAGAATTTACATATTTATTATAAAAAATAATACCAGAACAGTAAATCAGCTGACAAAAGCTGTTTTTTTTGCTTTTAAGTTATCTAAGTTACATTAAAAGAGGCCGCAAGTGAACTTTAAATTTTGAACTGACAAATATAATTTTCGGTCATCTATTGGTCGAGTCAAAAACGGTAAATAGACAGGATTGTTTCATTCCTTAAATAATACATAACACGTACTTTGGCCAAATTCAGAAGCCAAATTTCACTGTAGTTCGGTCCACTCTTTGGCATACGTGAATAATATTCAATTCCTATTTCACTTTTCCTCCCATATCAGCAAGGACTGCAGTTTCTATGGACAAATGTGGCCGATTAAATAGTCCTGAATTGTTTACAGTTTTTAAACAGACTTTTTAACCGGTCTAATTTTTCCATAATATTGTTAGTTTCACGACATCAATTTTGACGTCATTACAATATTTGCTGGCATGAGAAGAAATGAAATGGGAAATGAATATATTGACGTATACAAACGAGTGGAAGTGAAACCCTTATCGAGACTCGTAATTATGCTGTAAAATTTGGCGATTTTACGTCTTATTCTTTGTCTTATTGGATAGTTTACAATTATTGGTCATGGATTGCTACACAATGCTACACATTTTTATGGTCAAGTTCTGCACAATCAAAAATTTTCTTGTGGCAACCCTGATCAATACCTCTGTCAGTACTAAGTTCTAGGGAAAGGTGTACGTCATGCGTTCAGCTTCACGAATTAATTACGTTTCATGGTACTTAATTTGTTTATTTATTAACGAGTCGTTGTAATTTTCCCTATAGCTTGAATTTTTTAGGTGCAAGCTAGAAACACTTGCATTTTTGGTAAAAATAAGTAGAATTGAGTGGGTATTCGATAGTGGTCGCGCTATTAGAACTCTGAATTCAAAAATCGATATTGAGTTTCGAAATCTATTAGAAATAATAGATTGTAGTTTTTTCAAGAACTTTGTTAATATTTCTGCTGTATTTTCTTTGTAGACAGTATGTGAAAATCTTTATTAATAAAAAAATTACACGATTGCTGAAAATTGCTATGCTCTAAAAGTAAATGGATGGATTGTTTACAATTTTTGAATGGAAAAAACAACCTTATCAAATATTTCATCAAATATTTCTTATGTAAACATATTGTAAAATATCCGATCTTAAAAATAAAAAAAAGTTTCAATATCTAAAGTGGTTCTTGTTATGTGTTAAAAAGTTGAGTTTTTAAATTATCGCGATTATTGACGTTTTCTGGTTATAAAAAAAATGACACCCTAACAATATCCTTATAACTTATAATTCCATTTCAGATGCTCAGAAACATGTCTAATGATTTTATCTAGTTATCTCTTGAAAAAAAAGTCTTTTAAAAATAAGCGGTTTGCGATCGCGATTTTACTTTACTTGATAGGGAAAGGCGTATCGGCAACGCCGCAACAGTACACCGTCGCGCGTCGCGTCTGTCAGTCGAATTTCTCTCACTCCGACTTAATAAGATCCCTATGCGATTTACTTCCACATAGGTAAATGCCGACCCAAAAGTAACAGTTGCCAGCACGGTATATTATTATTTGGTTTCCTAATATAAAAATAAAATCATCGATCTTCATTCCCCAGTCATCTTTGACGCGTTTTTTGTTCGATCTATGGTATTATTTACAAAATAAATTTTAAATTGTTAAAGAAAATTAAACTGACACACTCTATATAGTTACAATCGACCAAACCATAAATCCATATAAATACAAGCAAAAATCGATCGTGAATCATTACTGGTGCGGTGCTCACTCCAAATCCTCGCCAACTAGATGGTCACAAGACTTAAATAAGAATTTAACGCGTTGTTATTCGAAATCTCAAATTGCACCTGTCACAATTCGAAATTGCCCGCGCCAATTGCCCCTTAGATTGCTTAAACGGTTCTATTCCATTTAAATATTTCTTGACCGCCATTGAGCTTTATCATGGGAGCGATAAGTATATAGAGCGGTGCGCTAGTGAGTTTATGGTGCAAATATTTACGTATCTTTTAGTAGTTTTAGTAGTGATTGGCCTGTTTAGTGTTGTAAATCATAGAATGAATTGTGTTTTCACTATTCTGTTCGTGTGCACCGCCTACGTCTCGAGCGGGCCCACGATTAATAACAACGATGGTCTCAGACTGGTCAGTGTGGTGAGTATCTTTTGTTCTATCGTTTTAACTCATTTTTTTTATCGTTTTAGTTTAAGACTTTTTTTAGAAAATGATACAAATGAATTACAACATACGTAACGCGTTTTTAAGCTCTTTTTGATCCTTTATTAGCATTTTTTTGCTTCAGCGCAAATTTTAATGGCATCAAGTTGGCTTGGAAATTGTGTGATGGATGACATTCCCCATATAATTTTATACAGGATGGTCCGAACTGTATTCCGGAAATTTCGGCAGGAAATTCTGCTGATAAAAATAAGTAAAAAAGTTCGTATAAATGTATATCCTAAACTACGTAGTTTCGGAGATACAGGGTGTAGAAGTTTCACTTTTATTTCGATTTTCTTCCAATAATTTATGAAGTAACGTCAATATTTGGATGAAAATTAGTGTCTGGGAGTTTTTTGACATGAGAAATTTGATTTAGATGTCAATATGACTTTTATTTGTAGAGGGCACTACCTACATGTGTTTTAACTGTTTTGAAGAGTAATAACTTTTCGTCCTTTCCGTGACTTTTTACGTAAAAAAAGTATCTTGGTAAAAATCGGTACGAGCAACCGTTCTCAAGATATTTAGAATGAAAATAGTCAATACATGTCATTATTGACAAAAAATAAACACGTTGAATAGATAGTTACTTGACTGAAATAATAAATTTGGAAAATTTTTATTTTTTTGAATTAATCATAAATTTTTCTGCAAAAAAAATATGATTTTTTTTTCTGTTTAATTTTTGGCAGAAAAAGATTACAAATTTATGATTTCAGTCTAATAACTATTTAGTCAACATGTTTAATTTATATCCATCATGACATGTATTGATAATTTCGATTCCAAATATCTCGAGAACCATTACTCGTAACGATTTTTACCAAGAAACATTTTTTGCGTAAAAAACTTTGTAAATGTATATTTTTTTACTCACTAATTTTACACAGGTACGACGAAAAGTTATTATTCTTAAACTAGTTAAAAAATATTTAGGTGGCGCCCTCTACAAGTAGGAGTCATATTGAAATCAAGATCAAATTTCTCATGTGGAAAAACTTCTGCAAACCAATTTTCATCCAAATATTGACTTTACTTCAGAACTTCTTTGTAAAAAACAAAATCAAAATGAAACTTCTACACCCTGTATCTCTGAAACTAAGCATTTTAGGACATACATTTATACGAACTTTTTACGTATTTTCATTTGCACAATATGCTGCCAATAAGTTTCCGGAATACAGTTCGGACCACCCTGTATACTTAATGACATTAATATCCATTTCCAAGCCAACTCTGATGCCGCTTTTTCCATCGCATGGAATTTTTATATGCTTAAATAATATACAGTATGTCCCCGGATTGTCTTTAAAAGAGGAAAAACTTTTTTATTATTCACATTAAAAATGCGTTCTTCATAAAAAATGTTGCTTCTTTTAAAATGGATAACCCGGTTTTTACTTTTCCAAATTTTTATACCGTCTCGCATACCGTTTTAGAGAAAATTAAAAAAACATGAAAATATTGTTGCATTTTTTCCAAGTCCTAAATGGTGATATCATTTCGATTTCATTGTGATTTCATTCTTTGATAGATGCTGTGATAGATTGTTCTTATTAATTTTGATTAAGGTCATATACTTTGCTGTTGTTAAACTATCACATTTTCCGAACTAAATAAATTTTGTGTTTCTTTAACATTTTAACACAGCAAAAATATGACGTTAAGAGTCCATTTCACTAGTCCTAAAAAGTAGCAAATAAGCGTTCGGCATTTAACATTTTATGTAAAACTGGCTAGGTATTTTTACACAAATGAAGAAGGAAATTAAAGATAAAGAATTATACTATATCCGTATTGTAACACATTTTTAGACAACTTCTTTATCTTTAAGATTTTGATGGTCAAACATCAATAAAATATTCCTTATGTTTGAACTAAATTTTCTGGAAAATAAAGACATAATTTAAAATTCCGTTACTATACGGAAGTAGACTAAACTTTTGTGATTACAGTGATATATAATTTATATGGTTTTGTAACAAATTGCTCGGTATTTTATAGCAAATGCTGAAGCTCTGGGAACCTTAATCAAGCCTTAATCAAAGCACGTGTGTTTGGAATTTTGGATGTGGCTTGTTTGAAAACGTTTGCAAATGTTGGTTCGTTTCTATTTTTCTCTTTTTGAACAGGACAAGAATTCGCGAATTAACAGTGAGTTTGTGAACATTTGTCAACGATCAGGAATATTTGCACAAAATGGCTCCGCGAAAAACAGCTATTGTAAATGCCGCTGCTTTTATTATAATGTGTGTTTTGAAAGAAAAAGGAGACTATGAAAAAAAGAAAGAAAAGAAAACATAGGTTTTGGACGTCATATTTCTTGAAAACGAGAAACTCAGTACAACTGATTCGTGATATCATATAACAACAGATGATAGAAGTGGTCTATTTAGGAATTTCTCTAGAATGTCACAAGAAGACTTTCAATACTTAATATCATTAATCGGTCCTAAAATATGTAAAAAAGATACAAATTACAGGGACTGTATTCCTGTGGAACTCAGTTTGGCTATAACACTTCGGTTTTTAGCCACCGGAGATTGATACAACAGCCTTATGTTCTCTTTAGAGTTTCGAAGCCACTTATATCAAGAATTATTCCAAAGATTATTTAGCTTTCACAATGTCCACTGTAGTTTCCATTTTTGCTTCTATATCACACCATGCATCATGTTTTTTAAATTTGTTGTGGTATAAATTATGGGTTGATTTCTATATTTCGGGTTTTAATCTATATAAATCAAACAATTTCAAGCACTTTTCATTATCCCACTCCATTTTTAATTTTTATCGACACAAAATGACACGTTCAAATTCAAATGGTCCCTGTTTTAAAAAAAGTTTCGTTTAAACCTGTTTCCACAAAACGCGCACGAACAGCAAATCCCTTTGATGTACCGACATCGGACGGAACATCGCCAATCGGTTTGCGACCGTTCACGAACGTTTGCAAACATTCTAAATAACATCTCCACCGGACAAAAAAATGTTTTTGCAAATATTGCTGATCATTCGCGAACATTTGCAAACATTATGCGCGCTTGATGGAAACGCACCTTTAGGCAGATTTCTGAAATATTATATATATTTCCTTCGGCCACACACCCGCTTTACCCGACCCCTGAGAGCGACCCGAACAGTACAGCGTAATAGACCTTTAATGAAAATTCTATTAATAACAATATATCAAAGAATGAAATAGGAATGATATTACCATAGAAACGCCTTTTGGTTTTTAGGACTTTCTACCATATTTTCATGTAGTACTACATGTAGAATTGTTCTATGATGTAGAACAAGCACATCTCTTTTATGAAGGATGCATTTGTCTCAAAATGTCAATAATAAAAAAAGTTTTTCCTCTTGTAAAGACAATCCGCGGACATACTGTAGTATGTGAAAGTTTTTATATCAGGATAAAATGAAAACAAAAGCCATACATGTACAGGGTAAGTCTTAAATAAGAGCACATATTTTTTGAGTGGTATATTTCATTCCCAAAAACACGTCTATGAATTTTGTTTAGTGAAAAGAAAATTTTGGATTTTTCAAAAAACCATTATATGATTATTTGCAACTTTTGATCTAGTATATGACAAATGGTATTATAATCATTACCTAGTGAACTTGTTTGTGCACCGTGAGATTGATAATAATTCTGCCTAGTTCTAGTTGTTTCTGGATAAACCATATAATATGTGTTTTTTATTATAATTAATATATTTTAAATAGTGGTTTTCCCGTAATTTATTTACCAAACATGATATTAATTTTACTTACATGTATACTAAAATAATTTGTTATTATTAATTCCTTTTATCATGGGTAATTTTCCTCTATAATCTAATATCTTAATAAATTTAAAATGTTTATACTACATGTATAAATAAATTTTCTAAGAATTAAAAATATAACGAACAGAATTACAAAAATTATCAAAATCTTTTAGCTGACTCTACCCAAGAAAAATCTATTAATGATTTTCATTTCAAAAGCCACATTAAAGAAATTTTATTATCGACATCCAAAAAATTACAGAAAATCCAATATACCTCTGAATTAAAATGACAGAGACAAATGTCACTGTCATGTAGGCTGTCGTTTGTTGCGTATTAAGTTGCATTATTGAAATCTCAACAGCAATAAATTGTAAATCAAAGAATTAGGAATATATTGATGAAAAAAAGTGTCTTAGAGCAAATAACTAATTTAAGTCACATACGAGTGGCTCTTATGCGAATGCAAATATAGTTTACTTTAATAATAATAATTCATAAACAGTTAAGTAATTACACCCAGATTGAAAATCTGAGCTTTTTTAGTGCTGCAATTCGTATATGCACAATAAGATAAATAAAAAAACGCATTTTCAACATTATTTCTGGTAACAAATAAACCAATTTGGGCTTTTCTCATAAGTTCATATCAAATTAACTTTTAGTCACGTGATTAAGCTTGACCGGCACAGCGTTGCCCACTTTTACATACTTTCTTTTAATCAAAATATTTTAGGAAACGAAAATAAATTAATTATAAATATATAAAGTTATTATTTACATTAACAAAACTCACCTCTTTAACAGCACTTAAGGGACATAAAGAGCCATTACTACGGCTTTCCCGTTCAAAATATTCTAATAAAGTTGCGATGAGTTTTTTACGGCTATTAAGCTATCTTGTATACTTCGCACTAAAAGAGGTTCTAAAAAGAACTATGTTCGACTGTAAAGTCTGTTAGTAAACATTTTTAAACTTAAAGTATTGCAACACTATTTATTTAAACCAAAAACTTGTAAAACTAAACTAAACGAATGACAATCTCAGGAAAAAAATAAATAAATGTGGCAACAAAAAATGTCATTTTATAGCAGAGCTACCATCTGCATACCCAGCGGGAAATTTAAATTCTAGTTGGCAACAATGAATTTAAAAATCTCACCCTCGATTACATAACTAAAAGCTTAATTGGTATCAAATATATCATATATTAGCATTCCTATTTAAGAAACACCCTGTATATAAGTACAACGTGGTATAACCTTTAGATTTCTTTATTTTTATTCAAATTGACCTTAAAAAACAGTTATTGCGATCGGCCTTGGCAAAAATAGTTACACATCTTATCTTGTTAAATATTTTATCAGATTTTTTATATTTGCTTAACAACATAATTATTTATGTAGTTCTTTCGACATGGTGCCAGAACGCCAGAACACAAGGATAGGTATCCCAACGATCCATATAAATTGGATGTCTTTCAACCAATGGGATGGGGGCAACTGACAAACGTAAGTATATACAGGGTGGCGCTTCTCATACGGCGCGGAGGCTCGAAGGAGAACGGTTATTTATATCGAAATGAAATTTTGGGAGCATATGTAGGTTAATTAAAAGCGCTTTATAAAAATATATAGAGCTCTACAGGGTGTCCCCAAAAAAAATTACGCATCAGAGTTGGTCTTTTTCTAATGGGAAATTATAAAGGTGAGTTTCATTAAAGAAGCATATGCCTAAAATCTAAAATGTAAAGACTTGGACATATTTTGTATTGTAATTATTCTTTATTTCTTATGGGCACTTATTAGTCATTACTAAAAAAGGAAAAAGACTCAAAAAGAAATCAAAATATAAAAAATAGGTTATAATGTTTTTTCTCTGATTCTTGACACCCCATGTATATAATTGGATGGACAATAAAATTGATATTATTGTAAAACAATTGATGTGATTACAAAACTAAATGGTACAACAGTAGAATTTTTAATTCGCACTGAATACGTACTGTACCAAGTACCTAAAATTAATTTTATTGTCTGTATTAATATGGAGACCCATGAAAAAAAATGTCATGGTTAAAATAACCTGAATGACACACATTGTTTAACCTATTTCTTTGAAACATGTTGAAAATATTTATGAAGTGAAACTTCTTTAAGCGCGCTGGGAGTAAAAAATTGAGGGCCGTGACACATGGACTAGTGTCACGAAAAGTGGTAACGGTCGAAAAAGTGGTAAGCCAACGAGAAAGTTGAGATGTGCCTTTGAAGCCTCGTAACTCGGGCCCCATGTCATCTTTTCGCGATATTTTGACGACGTTTCGTGCACTATCCCCATCATCAATGGCGAAAAAATCGTCCGATTTAAATTAAATTTGATGTGTTGATAAATTGGACCAAGAACAACTACTTAACCTGTATGACACGTGTCACTGTGACAGTTAGTTTTAACGTAAGAAACGTCAAATCTATGCATACACCGGTGTCCGATCGCGACCAAATTTGGTGGGTAGGCTATGTGAGCGATAGAGCACACGGTCCCACCCTGCACAATTGGATACGAGCAACATCAGGGTGGGACTAAGGATCTGATATTGAAGAAAAAGGTGGGTTGATTTCGGCATAATTGGCGACGGGCTACAGCATTTGACGCCCTCGACGTTTCGAACCGATGCCTTTATAAATGGACGAAATTATCAGGATTTTTCTTAATTGGAATAATACAGAGTTTTTAGGGTTCCTCATCCATATACTTGTTTATTACCCCAGCTTTTTTAAAAGATTTTCTTTGTGATTACTCCAATCTAAATGTTTATCATTTATTATTCCTAAAAATTTTGTATATAATAAAGGTAAAAAAATTGTATATAAATAATCAAGGATTTAGCTGAAATCTGATTTAAATTAAAATTGAACAGGTAACAATGCAAAACCCAAAAACCCAGTGGCGGCTCGTGGGTATAAAATAAAAAAAAATGTTTGGCGCATTCGCCATTTTGTCAACATTTTTTAAAATATTATTTGAAAAATTTTTGCTGCATTCACCATTATGTTAACATTTTTTTTGTTATTATTTATACACTAATATCTATAATATTTTCGTTTTAGTTTGGGCTAAAACACATTAAGTAAAAAGAGATACAACCAGTTTTCGATAAACACATTATTTTGCATTCCAGTGAAAATATAATTAAATTTAAATTAAATATAATATACATTATATACAGTGGCCCCCATAAATTTGGATCCATATGGACGTTTTTTTTTATATTACAGTTTTAAAAAATCTTTTTGTGGCAATCACTTCTGCTTTGAAAACAACTTAAAATACACCAAGTCAAAGTTGACAGCTAACATCTGGGAGCTGTCAAATACAAAATATTTAAAAGAAATTTTTAAAATTTGGTTTAATTATTATTATTTTAAAAAAGGTTACTAACAAAATTATGTTTCACCTTTGACTTGGTGTATTTTAAGTTGTTTTTACACCAGAATTGATCACCACAAAAAGTTTTTTTTAAACTCCAATACCAAAAAAAAACCGTCTATATGGATCCAACTTTATGGCGAACACTGTATTTATTGAAGGGCTTCCCCGAAAAACGTTGTAACCGACATTTTTTTCAAAATAGAGAATTCAGTGAAATAAGGTTGTAATTTTCATAGGTATAACGTTTTTTCCTCGGTTTTTACACTAAAATTTCGATATTAAAAAAGTTGTTGGTTACAACCGAGGAGCCATTCAATTATTATTCAACTATTACATTAATTATTATTACATTAATGTTTACTAAGCAATATTAACCAAAATAAATTTGACTTATTTATATTACTAATCTTACTAGTTTTTGTAAATCAGCTCAATTTTTCATGTTTCAAATTGCACACCAAGTCATTGATTTGGTTCATTTTTTAATACAAACACACACATAAAACAGTTTTAAAACACAACAACAAAACAAACAGCAAAAATTAACAAGTTAAATCAACAAAAACCATTAACAAACAACAATAAATAATCAACAACTTTACAGTCTTTACACGGTTAATTACTCGCCGAAGTAGCCGAATATTAGCATAAAGGAAGACGAAGCGAACTGTCCAAAAACTCATTCACATCGGTTGCCGATAAAAAATTTCGGGGCGGGGAATTTACATGCTGCTGCTAGGCTGACGTCTTGTAACCATGGAAACCGTGCAGCCGCTCGACTTACAAATATTTTCACTTCACTTGTGGCTTCGTGGTAACGTAGGCGCATGCGGGCCAATAATGCTACTTTTTCAGCCGGAATGAACGATGCAATGGACCTATTATGCAGAGGTCCACCCGAAAAAAAAATAACTTATAAAAAATTACCATTTTATTATTTAAATACACGTAAATATATTAAACTAAATTAATATTTTAAGCCTTTTATATATATTATAAGTTTCTTCTATAATTTAAGTTTTTTCTATAATTTGAGTATTTTTTTCGGTGAAGTGCTTTGAATAAGAAGACTAAGGAAGGAGCATATCAAAAATCTTAGGTACACCGCAATGGGCCTCAAATATGGCCGACTTAAATTCCGGTTTATCAGTGTCGTTCTAATTTTATTTAAAAAATATAAAACTATGATGTAGGGTAGACGTGGGGTAGACTCAATAATTTTTTGTTTTATTTTACGTTGTGAATAAATGTTGGTAGTTATTAAAATTGTTATAAAAATATATAATTCTAATAAAAATAGATAAGTTATAATAAGTATTTATTAACACAAACATCCGATACGCTACTGAAGCAGGTAAGTCAAATTAACGTATCTAAATTCTTTGACATCTAATCTTTGACCAGTAATAAATAAAAGTTAAAATGCAAGAAAAATATATAATTTAGTTAATTTAAGTGAATTTCATAAATGATCGGTTTACTACACGTATAGTCTATAAAATGAATAACTTTGAATTTTGACCGTTATTTTTCACCAACATGGCAAATATAAAATCCCTCTATCAAAAAAGTTACTGATATTCTTTGAATTGAGTGCCTGAACGAATCAGATAGGTAACTCTTTTTACTTTCATGAAATAAAAAAGGAAAATAATAAAATAAAACAAGTGACAGTTCTTCCTCTTCTTGCAAAAATCAACACTAAATGACATAATTGTCAAAAGTAAAATGTCATCAGCTTTTGACATTTCTAAATATCAGACCAATGCCGTCTCTAATAGAACAGCATCGGAGCGAGATTTATGACGTCACGCTACTTAGATACTACGGATTAATAAATATGTTGTAGAATACATGGAAAACAATTATTCCTCGTATTTTTGGTTTGTATTTTAAAAACGATATAGTTTACATGAAATATACTTAATGTACAGTTAATAAATACAATATAAAGGGAACTAAAACAACTTTCGTTGCACGTCATCAATGATACCATGCGTAGTTAAATACTTTGGCAAATAAACTATGAACGATGATACAAATGCAGCAAATGTTTTACAATATACAAATAATGAATAGGTACATAAGATAATGGGTAAAATGTAAAATATATTTTAAATTTGGGGGTTTGAAAATCGATCTAATTTAACAAAAAACATTCAATATCTACTAATAGTGACGTATTATTATTATTTACATTCACAAAATTTATATGCATATTTTGCAAGTACCAATGTTCGAAAAATTATATTTGCGAATAATACAATATCATAGAAAAAAAGGCGTCAGCGATGGCTATGAAATAAAGATCGCTGTCATTTTATATGCAAAATTATTCTAAAATTTTTGATTTTCTTGGGATTTAGGTTTGGGAAAAACGCTGATTAAGTTTTCATTTGGTTTTTCATTTTTTTTTCATTTGGTTTCAGCTCACATTATAGCCTTCATCAGTGTTGTGTCATATGAAAAAAATAGTGTCGAATATAATCCAAAAAATTACATATAAAATATACTAAATATATATGTTACTGTAAATGTCCGAAATGCGGTAAAACCGAGGATTTACCAAAAGCAAGTGGTAGTAAAAACCAACCAACCTCACCAAATAACCACCTAACCAATGCATTAACACCCCCCAAATAATTAGGCTAACCAATGCATTAAGACCCTCCAAATAACAAGGCTAACCAATGCATTAACATCCTCCAAATAACCAGGCTAACCTAATTAATTAATGAATTTGGTAAATCCTAGGTTTAGCGCGCTTATCCTGGGTTTTTTGCCGCATTTCGGACATTTACAGTAACATATATATTTATTAATTAATACATATTTATTAATCCGTAGTATCTAACTAGCGTGACGTCATAAATCTCGCTCCGAGGCTGTTCTATTAGAGACGGCATTGCGTCAGCATGGCCGCAACTTGCTAACCCTTTGAATAAGAAGACTAAGGAAGGAGCATATCAAAAATATTAGGTACACCGCGATGGGCCTCAAATATGGCCGACTTAAATTCCGGTTTATCAGTGTCGTTCTAATTTTATTTAAAAAATGTAAAACTATGATGTAGGGTAGACGTGGGGTAGACTCAATAATTTGTTGTTTTATTTTACGTTGTGAATAAATGTTGGTAGTTATTAAAATTGTTATAAAAATATATAATTCTAATAAAAATAGATAAGTTATAATAAGTATTTATTACCACAAACATCCGATACGCTACTGAAGCAGGTAAGTCAAATTAACGTATCTAAATTCTTTGACATCTAATCTTTGACAAGTAATAAATAAAAGCTAAAATGCAAGAAAAATATATAATTTAGTTAATTTAAGTGAATTTCATAAATGATCGGTTTACTACACGTATGTATATTATATAGTCACTTACTAGCGAAAAGTTGTTCCATTATTTCACTCAATTTTGCCGAGATCTACCGCACGCTACACAACCAACTATTTTAGAGTCTTTTTCGATAAATCGCGATAGTGTCACTGTTAATTTAAGTTCTGCCACAATTTCCATCTAGATTTACTACCTTTATAAAGACCGTAATACCTACCTTTATAAAGCTCCGTAAAGACTGACAAATCCACAAAATTTCAAATCAAATTCAAATGTGTCAAATGAATCGTCAAACAGAACTGTCAAGGATCCCCACCCTAGAGAGCTTTTATGGTGGCTTTTCCGCCCACCATGCATGAATACATGGATAGCATTATGCTCCTTCCTTAGTCTTCTTATTCAAAGTGCTAACCTAATAAAACTAACACTAGAAAAGCCCGCGGGAACTGTCAAATTCAAAGTTATTCGTTTCACAAACTATATGTATATTATATAGTCACTTACTAACGAAAAGTTGTTCTATTATTTCACTCAATTTTTGCCGAGATCTACCGCACGCTACACAACCAACTATTTTACAGTCTTTTTCGATAAATCGCGATAGTGTTACTGTTAATTTAAGTTCTGCCACAATTTCCATCTAGATTTACTACCTTTATACAACTATCAGTAGTAGAATAAATAATAAATAACATAAAATAAGCTCCGTAAAGACTGACAAATCCACAAAATTTCAAATCAAATTCAAATGTGTCAAATGAATCGTTAAACAGAACTGTCAAGAATCCCCACCCTAGAGAGCTTTTATGGTGGCTTTTCCGCCCACCATGCATAAATACATAGATAGCATTATGCTCCTTCCTTAGTCTTCTTATTCAAAGGTGAAGTGCCTCTTCGCCTACTGCACCTGACGAGCCGCCACTGGCAAAACCAGGCAAATGCCAACGTAGGCACCTTAAGTTGTCATTCTATAACTTTGTTAATGTGAAATTATTGTATTTTCTAAGCGTTAGAGTTTTGCCTCATTCAAACCGTTGTTTTATTACAAAATACATTTAAAGATACTCAGCGCAGGAGCGTATGTACTATAACTTATTAGTATTGTTAACAGCGCAACTAATTACATTTGGCATAGCTTGACAACTTAAAATATGTTGACATTTGACTGGTTTTGCATTACTACCTGTTCAGTTTTAATCTAAAAATAGATGCAGTTTTTTTTTAAATTACTTATTTAAAACGGCTTGTTCAAATTTGACATGCATATTCAGCATAAGCAGATATTTAAAAAACCTCTTAGCTGTACCAAACCACTTCCAGCCAAGCCAATATTCGGACATTTCAAAATTTGCATGGGATTTCCTATGTTTCCAACGACGCGACGATGTACCACCCGGTATATAAAAACAGAAAATTTAAAAATGCAGTTTTTTCAATAAAATAGATTTTATGTAATGGTGCTTTGAGAAATACGAAAAAAATGTATTTTTTGCGGTCGGACACATCACTTATGGTTTTTACCATTATGTTAGCAGTTATTTTAAAACAATAGTTAATAAAAAAATAATAATTCATGAGCGATTTTACATAGTATGTAAAAAATAATCCCGAGCTCTTGGACTTTCTTGCCATCTACGTAAGACATTTTTTTGTCCAAAAACTTTGAATATGTTTTTTTTCAAAAACGCTTGATGTTAGGTACTCTATACCTAACCGGTTTAATATCAAAATTCACAAAATTTTACAGAGAATTTAAATATGTAATAAAAAATAGATATACCCATTTAAATTAAGAAAGTTACTGTCAACTTCCGGTATTTCCGGAAGTGCCGCCATATTGGAAAAAAATATTTTCAATAGATAGAACTCGTAGTGAAACAATGATTTACAAAAAATCTCTGATCTAGATGTTGTAGCTCCAGTTATTATTTTGTGCCACTTGAATCCAGTTTCCAGCCACTCTCTTAATATTATCTGTCCATCGACTAGGAGGTCGTCCTCTGCTTCTATAGGCCTCGTGTCTTGTTCTCCATTCCACAAATCTCTTTGTCCACCGTCCATTTGTTATCCTAGCCACATGTCCTGCCCAATTCCATTTAAGATGTAAGACAGATATCACCGCATCTCTTAGTCCTGTTTGATTTCGTATGGTATGATTAGGTATTTTTTCTCTAAGTGTAACTCCCAACATGGACCTTTCCATTTTCCTTCGCATGACCTGTATTCTGTGTATATTCTTTTTTGTCAAAGTAAATGTTTCAGCTCCATACGCGAGGACAGGCAAGACACACTGGTTAAAGACCTTTCTTTTTAAACATATTGGAATATCAGATCTCAGTATATGATTTAGTTTACCGAATGCCGCCCACGACAAACCTATTCTTCGTAGAATTTCGTGTATCTGATTATCCCTTCTAATACCGATCTCATGTAATAAGTATTTATATACAGGGTAATCCCTGTAAGTCGATCATGCTTTCGGGGAATGATAGGGGACGTCAAAATATTAAATTTGATATAGCACACTATGGGTCAGAAATGCCTCTTACGCAAGGTACAGGGTGTTAAAATTTTAGAAAAATTAAAGATATTCTTTAATAGTTTTTTAACAGTTGAAGGTATCGTTATAGAATTTCATTATAGGAGTCTACCTAACAGAGGCACTTTAAATGTAAAAAGAAGAGGTTTTAGTTTCAACTAGTGGCGGTTGAAAGAGCTGTGATACGCATCGGGTAATATTTTCAAAAAAAAATAGTACGCTACTGATAAAAATAAAAATTTGAGTTTTTTCATTTACTCGGTTTATTTCCAAGAAAAAATGTCTCTTGCAACTTTCTTCTATCTAACACCATTTTGTCACAATTTAAAAATAAATATTTTTTTAATGATAATCTTAAATACAGCGAATTATTATAACTAGAGGGCAGAAACACATATGTGCATCGTTAGCTCCCTTCATCTTGGGTAACTTTAGTACTTTTTACTATTAGCTCTAAATAAATTTTTAAAAAATTATAAATTTAAACTGGAATTTTTTTTATTGTTAAAATTCTTAGTTTTAAGGTAGTTATAATAATTCGCATATTTAAGGTTTTCATTAAAAAAATATTTATTTTTAAATTGTGACAAAATGGTGTTAGATAGAAGAAAGTTGCAAGAGACATTTTTTCTTGGAAATAAGCCGAGTAAATAAAAAAACTCAAAATTTTTATTTTTATCAGCGGCGTACTATTTTTTTTTGAAAATATTAACCGATGCGTATCACAGCTACGCCACTGGTTGAAGCTAAAACCTCTTCTTTTTACATTTAAAGTATCTTTATTAGGTAGACTCTTATAATAAAATTTTATAACGATACCTTCAACTGTTAAAAAAGTATTAAAGAATATCTTTAATTTTTCAAAAACTTTAACACCCTCTGTATCTTGCGTAAGAGACATTTCCGACCCATAGTGTGCTATATCAAAATTAATATTTCGACGTACCACATCATTCCTCGAAAGCATGACTCGCATACAGGAATCACCCTGTATATAGTTGGTTATTGAATAATCTCTGATATTACCAAAATCTCTCGAAGAAAATATCCAATAAAATAATTTTTACAGAATGGAAAAAGCATGGCACACACCTTAGGACAAGCATTAAGAAAAAGGTACAACAAATTTCTGGATGAAATTTATACACCGGAAATAATAAAAACTAAAAGTACCGATTACGACAGAACTCGAATGTCTGCACTTCTGGCTTTGGCTGGTCTCTTTCCTCCGGGAAAGTCTCAAAAATGGCACGAGGAACTTAAGTGGCAGCCGATCCCAGTTGACTATGATAAGGACAGTATTGACTACGTAAGTATACAGGGTGGTCCGAACTGTATTCCGGAAACTTCAGCAGCATATTCTGCAAATAAAAATAAGCAAAAAAGTTCGTATAAATATAGGTCCTAAAATGTTTAGATTCGGAGATACGGGGTATAGAAGTTTCATTTTTATTTCGATTTTCTCCAAATAATTTTTGAAGTAACATAAATATTTGGATGAAAATTGGTGTCTGGGTGTTTTTTAACATGAGAAATTTGATTTTAATGTCAATAAGACTCCTACTTGTAGAGGGCGCCACCTACATATTTTTTAACTGGTTTGAAGAGTAATAACTGTTTGTCCGTACCTGTATAAAACTACTGAGTAAAAGTTAAGTTTAATGACTGTTTATAGTAATTTTACTATTTATAGTATATTTATTTATTCGATGCATACTATATTATAAATTTATACTTATGTAAAATTATAAAATAAATTAAATCCAAACTGAAAAATTTGTAGGTTAGATTTAAGCCAGTTTAAGCGTGCGCAAAGTCGCTCTGACATAAAATAAAATAAAGAAGTTAAAAGTTAACCAATGCTTATTTTATTTGTTATTTTATTTAGTTGTATGAACTCGTGTACGGTATCCCATATAACCAACTTTCTTATTTTATTTTATTTTATTCTTATTTTATTTTATTTGGCAGTATGAACCCACCAGCGCAAATAACTATCTACTCAACTTGTTTATTTTTTGCCAATAATGACATGTATTGACTATTTCCATTCTAAATATCTTGAGAACGGTTACTCGTAGAGATTTTTATCAAAAGACATTTTTTACGTAAAAAGTCAAAAAAATGAATAATTTTTCACTCAGTACCGTAAAATGGGGTGAATAGAAACAGTTTCGTAGGCTATTAGCGATATACCAGTTGATAAAAATGTGGTATTATTTTCCCGAATATTTTAAAACATGGGTCTTTGTTTGTTCTTTGCGTATACATATAATTTGATTTTTGAAAAATATGCATATAAATATTAAATAAAAATAACATTTGTGTTTCTATTCACCTGCTATTCGGGAGAATAGAAACACACATTGATGTTAAGGTTTTTATCTACTCTATTTCCAACAAGGTGATTAGAAACAGTAAATTATTACATATGTAAGTAGGTTTAACAATAATTAACAATACATATAATATGACAACTTACATGTACCAGCTTATGTATTACTTTAAAAATAAATATTTTATTTATAAAGTTTTCAAGTGCCATACAAAATAGGTGATAAATCGATCTCACATTTATTGATGAGCTGATTGACAGAAACAGTGCTGCCACAGATAAAAATATAGTTTTTACATTTTATTGTGTATTACCAATGATAGAAAAATTAGATATGTCGACTCTTTTTACTTTGAATATTTTTAATCGTGATTTGATTTTTTTCAGAAATTTTGTTTCTATTCACCACTATGTTTCTATTCACCCCATTTTACGGTACTTTTATACAGGTACAGACGAAAAGTTATTACTCTTCAAAAGAGTTAAAACACATGGAGATGGCGCCTCCTACAAATGGGAGTCATATTGACATCAAAATCAAATTTCTCACGTCAAAACACTCCCAGACACCAATTTTCATAAAAATATTGACGTTACCTCAGAAATTATTTGGAAAAAATCGAAATAAAAATGAAACTTCTACACCCTGTATCTCCGAAACTAAGCATTTTAGGAGATACATTTATACGAACTTTTTTACTTATTTTTATCTGCAAAATATGCTGCCAAAGTTTCCGGAATACAGTTCGGACCACCCTGTATAAATAAAATTACAATAAGTCAATAAAACATAACTAAAACAATAAAGAAATAATTCTAAAGAAAGAAAAATAATAAGACTAAGTGGTATTTATTTTGTTTTAAAAATGACAAATGGCAAATTAAATATACAGGGTGGCCCGAACTGTATGCCGGAAACTTCCGCAGCATGTTCTGCTGATAAAAATAAGTGCAAATTTCGTATAAATGTATGTCTTAAAACGGCTTAGTTTAGAAGATACAGGGTGTACAAATTTCATTTTTATTTTGATTATTTCCAAATAATTTCTGAAGTACAGTCAACATTTGAATGAAAATTGGTATCTGGGAGTTTTTTGACATGAGAAATTTAATTTTGATGTCAATATGACTCCTATTTGTAGGGGGCGCTACCCACATGTGTTTTAACTGTTTTGAAGGGTAATAATTTTTCGTCCGTACCTGTATAATACTGAGTGAAAAAATATACATTTTCGTCATTTTTTACGTAAAAAATGTCTCTTATTAAAAATCGCTACGAGCAACCGTTTTTAAGATATTTAGAATGGAAATAGTCAATACATGTCATTATTGATTAAAAATAAACATGTTGAGTAGATAGTTAGGTATATGATTGAAATGATAAATTCGGGAACTTTTTATTTTTTTAAATTAATCATAAATTTTTCTTCGAAAAAACGATGATTAAACAGTTTCTATGGAACTTTTTAGCACAAAAACATTTCAAATTTATGATTTCAATCTAATAACTATTTAGTTAATAAGTTTGATTTATGTCAATGTCAATGATGACAGGTATTGATAATTTCGATTGCAAATATCTCGAGAACCATTACTCGTATCGGTATTTTTTCCGAGATATCTTTTTTACGTAAAAAAACCTCGTAAATGTATATTTCTTCACTCAGTATTTTTATACAGGTACGGTTGAAGAGTTATTACTCTTCAAACTAGTAAAAATATACAGGTGGCGCCCTCTACAAGCAGGAGTCATATTGACATCAAAATCAAATTTCTTATTGCTTATATATTATCAAAATTGCTTCAGAAATTATTTGAAAAAAATCGAAATAAAAATGGAGCTTCTACACTCTCCGAAACTAAGCATTTTAGGACACACATTTGCTGCAGAATATGCTGCCGAAGTTTCCGTAATACATTTCGGACCACCCTGTATAATAGAATAGTCAAGGGAGAATAAAAGAGGGTGGCATAGGCATAGTGACGCATTTTTACTTAATAATGACCATTTTCCTAATATTAAATTTTCTTTTCAGACTTTGAAGCGACCAAACTCATACTGTCCCAGATATATGAAAGAACTCGACCAAGCTTTACAATCTGATGAGACACTAGCTTTTCTAAAAACTCACAGGCAAACTCTGCAATATATTTCCAATCATACTGGAAAGCCAATGAATAAACTTGGTATGTATTCATTTAATATTAATAAATAAAAATTATAGTACACTTCTTATGTTCATTTTATAGAATTTTTTACAAAATGATACATTTTTTTGTTTGGTTTAGATTGGTTTGGTTATTCGGCACTCAACTAATACCGTGTATGGCGTACCGTGCAAATGTAGCAGAAAAATATAAAAAATATTAAAAATCTGGTTAAAATAATTATTTATTTTAATTATTACAATAAAAGGTGCGTCTCAAAAGTGGCTCACCCCTGTAACTTTTTTATTATTTCAGATAAAAAAACGAGATTTGGTATGCTAGTATATGACATAAATTAGAATTTGAAAAATTGATTGACGTATTCAATTATTTTCGGCCACTACCTGTTTCACCGGAAACGACTACAACTTTTGATTTTTAAATGGCACCGTTGGTATTTTTTACTTTATTCGATAGAAAATGATACTCTAAATAAAATGACATATCATATGTCAACTTTTGACATTTTTGTTTTAAAAAAATAGTATTTTAAATTTCAATCTAGAGTGCCCTGGCCATATTAAAAACATTAATTTTTAATCAAGGAGCCTTGGAAAAATAAATTTGGTCGTCTAATGTTTTTCGTGTCTTGTCCTGGCCGGTCAAAAGATGCCCAAATTTGTCCAAATCGTATTTTTAATCATATCTCATTTTTTTCAAATAGAACGAGGGTAGCTCATTAGCATATTTGGAAAAAGTATTTTTACGAATAATTTGGTACTACATATTTGTCATTTCGAGTCAAATTGTCGTTATATTTATGACCATGGCACCCTAAATTGAAATTTAAAATGCTATTTTTTATAATTGAATATGTCAAAAGTTGGCATACGATATATCATTCTATTCAGAGTGTCATTTTCTATCGAATAAAGTAAAAAAATTGGCGCCGTGAGGCACGTATAGCCGCCCATACTAAAATATGTTAATAAAAAGTTGGTAGGCAGTTCTTTTAGTTTCAAAGTAAAGGAATTTTTCCAATTTTGGTCCGCGGTTATTTCCCCTATCCGCCACCTGGGGTCGCGTCCGATGGGAGTTTGGATTTTCTCAAAAACGGACTACGGAAACACGGAATATCTCAAAAACTGCGACTTTGACTGATTTTGATGTTATTACTAATTTTGTTGCAAAAATTATTCCTAATCTTAAATTGAAAACCGTGTTTCGCTAGCTACTGTAATTTTGGAGTTACGATTATTTTAAATTTTTAACCCCCTCCCATACCCTCTTACCAACCCCCCCACCCTAACCAAAAATTAATGGCCAGATGCTCGGGTGCCACAGTATTTTTGTGCCAAATTTGGTTAAAATCGATTTAGCGGTTTTTGAGTTATCGTGTTACAGACGGGCAGACGGACAGACAGACACCATGAAAATATTTTGTATTTAGGTCATTTATGACCCAAATAACTCATTTTGAGTGAAATTAAAAAAACTTTTTGCCGATCCTAATAGCCTACCATACCTGTTGGTATGGTCGGCTAAAAATATCATGCCATTTAAAAATCAAAAGTTGTAGTAATTTCCGCTGAAACAGGAAATGATCGAAAAAAATTGATCACGCCAATCAATCCTAATTTGTGTCGTATTTAACACACTAAATCTCGTTTTTTTTTGTCTGAAAAAATAAGAAAGTTATAGGGGTGAGCCAATTTTAGACGCACCCGGTATTGATTTGGTGCGAGCCTCTTTTATATTCTACATACGGACTTCACCATAAAGTAAACAATACAATTATTAATTAATTAACTTTCTAGGTGACGTTTTTCAAATTTATCAGACATTGACTGCCGAAAGAACAATGAACTTGACCTTGCCTGAGTGGACTAAAAAAGTCTACCCCGAAAAAGTGACAATAATAGCTGCCAAACAATGCGAATTGGAGAATTCGAACCATATTTTGAAGAGGCTTAACGGAGGTATGTTGTTCTTTCCATGACTCTTAATATGTTAATTACATCGTTAATTCAACTAATTTATATAGGGTGATTCCAGTTAGTTTTCTCGTTAAAAAACTTTAAAAACTTCATTTCATAGGAATCAATCGAACTAAACATAAAAAAACTCTAACTAATAATATGTTTCTAAGGCCGCTAATACACTATAAAAGATATTTTAATAAAAATTTGACAGTGTTAAGGTTCATTCAGAACCTCGAAATCAGTGGAATAAATTAAAAGTTTCAATTAGCCGTAGAAGTTTATTCACCTAATTTTAATGTAAGCATTCAGAACGTCATAATTAGTGGTAGTAATTTTCAATTAATGGAAAAAGTTAACAAACTTTTGACTTTTTCGCTAATTATACTTCAAAATTTGCGAGGAATGTCATTTTGGCCTTTGATTATCACCCGTCAAGAAAAATTTTGGTTAGAAATCAAAAGTTTATTGTTTTCTAAGGAAGGAGCATATCAAAAATCTTAGGTACACCGCGATGGGCCTCAAATATGGCCGACTTAAATTCCGGTTTATCAGTGTCGTTCTAATTTTATTTAAAAAATGTAAAACTATGATGTAGGGTAGACGTGGGGTAGACTCTTTGAAAAGAAGACTAAGGAAGGAGCATAATGCTATCCATGTATTTATGCATGGTGGGCGGAAAAGCCACCATAAAAGCTCTCTAGGGTGGGGATCCCTGACAGTTCTGTTAGACGATTCATTTGACACATTTGAATTTGATTTGAAATTTTGTGGATTTGTCAGTCTTTACGGAGCTTATTTTATGTTATTTATTATTTATTCTACTACTGATAGTTGTATAAAGGTAGTAAATCTAGATGGAAATTGTGGCGGAACTTAAATTAACAGTGACACTATCGCGATTTATCGAAAAAGACTCTAAAATAGTTGGTTGTAGCGTGCGGTAGATCTCGGCAAAAATTGAAGGTGAAATAATGGAACAACTTTTCGCTAGTAAGTGACTATATAATATACATACGTGTAGTAAACCGATCATTTATGAAATTCACTTAAATTAACTAAATTATATATTTTTCTTGCATTTTAGCTTTTATTTATTACTTGTCAAAGATTAGATGTCAAAGAATTTAAATACGTTAATTTGACTTACCTGCTTCAGTAGCGTATCGGATGTTTGTGTTAATAAATACTTATTATAACTTATCTATTTTTATTAAAATTATATATTTTTATAACAATTTTAGTAACTACCAACATGTATTCACAACGTAAAATAAAACAAAAAATTATTGAGTCTACCCCACGTCTACCCTACATCATAGTTTTATATTTTTTAAATACAATTAGAACGACACTGATAAACCGGAATTTAAGTCGGCCATATTTGAGGCCCATCGCGGTGTACCTAAGATTTTTGATATGCTCCTTCCTTAGTCTTCTTATTCAAAGGGTAGACTCAATAATTTGTTGTTTTATTTTACGTTGTGAATAAATGTTGGTAGTTATTAAAATTGTTATAAAAATATATAATTCTAATAAAAATAGATAAGTTATAATAAGTATTTATTACCACAAACATCCGATACGCTACTAAAGCAGGTAAGTCAAATTAACGTATCTAAATTCTTTGACATCTAATCTTTGACAAGTAATAAATAAAAGCTAAAATGCAAGAAAAAATATATAATTTAGTTAATTTAAGTGAATTTCATAAATGATCGGTTTACTACACGTATGTATATTATATAGTCAGTTACTAGCGAAAAGTTGTTCCATTATTTCCTCAATTTTGCCGAGATCTACCGCACGCTACACAACCAACTATTTTAGAGTCTTTTTCGATAAATCGCGATAGCGTCACTGTTAATTTAAGTGCTGCCACAATTTCCATCTAGATTTACTACCTTTATACAACTATCAGTAGTAGAATAAATAATAAATAACATAAAATAAGCTCCGTAAAGACTGACAAATCCACAAAATTTCAAATCAAATTCAAATGTGTCAAATGAATCGTCAAACAGAACTGTCAAGGATCCCCACCCTAGAGTGCTTTTATGGCGCTTTTTCCGCCCACCATGCATGAATACATGGAGCATATTGCTCCTTCCTTAGTCTTCTTATTCAAAGATTGTTTTATAAGCTAAATATTATGCTTTCTCTGTGGATACAACAGACTACCGCAAGCTGTTGCTAGGATATTTTATTAATTTTAATTGTTTTTTTAGACATTGTGAATGATCGTAAACTAAAAAGTATAAAGTGTAATTGAAACCACTAATTTATTCCTAGGTATATTCTTTGATTTATTCCACTAATTTTTTGGGAGGTTCTGAATAAAGCTTTGATATTCAGTATTTTATAAAATCACACATATTACACTGCCAAATTCTTCATAAAACATCTTTTAAATAAATCTTTGACAAAGAACTCTTCACATGCAGTTATTATGTCATGAACCATCGGCTGCTGATGACAAGTTTCATATAAAAAGTTTCCTTAATAATAGAATTAATATTTTTAGGTCGTATGTTGGCTAAAGTTATATCAAATATGGTAGCGAAAACCGAGGGTTCTTTACATCCCCATGAAAGAAAAATGTTTTTATACTCCGGACACGAAAACAATGTTATCAATATTTTGGCAGCTATGGATCTATATGAAACACACTTTCCTAACTACAGCTCAGCTGTGATCATTGAGCTCCATTATTTACGTTCCAGACAAAATTATGCTGTAAAAGTAAGTGTTTTTCAAGGCAATTGTCGTGCTTTCAGTCATGCCGTATAACCTGTAATTTTTAATAAAAAAATTGATAAAAAAACGAGATTTAGTACGTTAGTATATGACATAAATCAGGACTGATTGACGTATTCAGTTGTTTTCGGTCACTTCCTGTTTCACCGGAAATGACTACAACCAGACTACAACTTTTCATTTTTAAATGACATCTTCAGTATTCTTTTATACTTTATTTGTTACAAAATGACACTCTGAATAAAATGACAACTTTTGACATTTTCGCATATGGTTTATTTGAAATTGTAACATGCGGTTCATAACGACAATTATTGTACTCCAAATACCAAGTGTGCGGTACCAAATTATTCGTAAAAAATGATTCTTCCAAATAGGCTAATGAGCTATCCTCGTTCCATTTGAAAAAATTGAAATATGATTAAAAATACGATTTGGGCATCTTAAATTTTAACTGGCCAGGAAAGGAAACGAAAAATATTAGACGATCATATCTGTTTTTTCAAGGCTCCTTGTTTAAAAAGAAGTGTTTTAACAAACTCTAATAGAATGAAATTTAAAAAACGATTTTTTAAGCGAAAATGTCAAAACTTGACATGTGATATATCATTATATTCAGAGTGTCATTTTCTATGGAATAAAATAAAAAATACCAAGGGTGCCATTTAAAAACAAAAAGTTGTAGTCATTTCCGGTGAAACAGAAAATGACCGAAAACAACTGAGGCGTCAAGTTGCAAAACCCGTCTTACCCCACAAACGTTTCGAGATAATAAGGAAAAACTGTTTTAGCAAATGTTTGAAGCGTTAATTTTCAAAAAACGTGTCCATTGAGGGAATCATTGTTTCGTTATCTCGTTGTTCTAACAAAAATAATTCGTAGAAGGCGGGTTTTGTTTGTATGATGCATATTGGCGATGAAATGAAGAACGCTGTCATTTTATATGTAAATTTCTATTGGAAATGTCATCGATCGTCATTTCCTAGCCAACTGGACACTGGATGCCGTTTTTTTTTCGAACATACGGTGTTTGCATGCTAACTTGATTTGTTAAATATATTATTTTATTAAAAGTAAGTAAGGATTTGAAAAGACGTCAGTAATATTATACTTGTGTAAAAAGCTTGTGAACAAATGCGGGATTTTTGTGACAATAATGACAATAAAAAGCAAACACGTAATTTGTAGTGAATTTTATATAGGAACAGGTGACTTATACTGCAGTTTGGGATTATGTTTATGTAGATTTCAGGGTCCCACTATTAATATACAGGGTGGTCCGAACTATATTCCGGAAACTTCGGCAGCACATTCTGCAGATAAAAATAAGTAAAAAAAGTTCGTATAAATGTATGTCCTAAAATGCTTAGTTTCGGAGATACAGGGTGTAGAAGTTTCATTCTTATTTCGGTTTTTCCAAATAATTTTCCAAATAAGTACCGCCAAATATTTGAATGAAAATTGGTGTCTGCGAGTTTTTTGACATGAGAAATTTGATTTTGATGTCAATATGACTCCTACTAGTACCACCTACATATTTTTTAATTAGTTTGAAGAGTAATAACTTTTCGTCCGTACCTGTATGAATCTACTATGTAAAAAATTATATATTTACGACGTTTTTTACGTAAAAAAGGTTGCTTGGTAAAAATCGCTGCGAGTAATAGTTTTCGAGATATTTGGAATCGAAATTATCAATACCTGTCATTGACATAAATTAAACATGTTGACTAAATAGTTATTAGACTGAAATCATAAATTTGAAATGTTTTTGTGCCAAAAGTTCAACAGAAACTGTTTTATCATCATTTTTTTGCAGAAAAAATTATGATTACCTAGTTTAAAAAAATAAAAATATCCCAGATCTATCATTTACTCAAAGAACTATCTACTCAACATGCTTATTTTTCGTCAATAATGATATGTATTGACTATTTCCGTTCTAAATACCTTGATAACGGTTGGTCGTATCGATTTTTACAAAGAGATATTTTTTACGTAAAAAGTCACAGAGATGACATCAAAATCAAATTCCTCATGCCAAAAAACTCCGAGACACCAATTTTCATCAAAATATTGACGTTACTTCAGAAATTATTTGGAAAAAATCGAAATAAAAATAAAACTTCTACACCCTGTATCTCTGAAACTAAACATTTTAGGACATACATTTATACGAACTTTTTTACTTATTTTTATCTGCAGAATATGCTGCCCAAGTTTCCGGAATACAGTTCGGACCACCCTGTATATCATTAGGCCATTTTTTTAACACATGGATAAGGCGGGTTTTGCAACTTGACGCCTCAGTTGAATATGTCAATCAATCCCAATTGTCATATCCTAACATAGTAAATCTCTGTGTTAAATGTTTTTTTTATCTGAAGAAATTAAAAAGTTATAGGGGTGAGCCACTTTTGAGAAACACCCGGCATAAATAAGTAAATATTAAACCATTAATTGTTTTTAGGTTTTGTATATAAGGGATGTCTACGAAGCACCAGAAGAATTGACTTTATCAGGATGCGACGTATACTGCCCACTAGATGATTTTGTCAGTTTAATGGAAAAGCATATTCCGAAAAATTACACTTTGGAATGTGAAGCAACGAAGAATTTAGATTAATCGTGCCAAAATACGAAAATTGAAAGAACAAGAAGTATTATATTTTATTTTATTTATTGTTATAAAAATATTGTTTTTTGAAGGATACATTTTAAGAAATAATAAATGATTTACAATCTTAAGTTTTTATTTAGTTCATGGCTCTAATACCCATAACTACCTTTCAATTTTTTTGATTTTTTTTTAATTTAGTTCTTACTTTTGAATTCAAGAGTAAGATCCCCGAACGATCAGACCAGACATATCTTATTTTCACAAGTAGTGGAGTGCCTTAAGCCCTTATGTGCCCTTATGGGATACAAACCTCGGAATTCATTTACTGTCAACGAATTTTTATAAAACTTTTTGCATTGTATTGTCAATAAGATTATTGTCATTTAAATTCGTTGCTTTCACTTTAGTATTTAAATAAACACACATATACAAAATGCATACATACAAGATGGCTCCGTGTTTCGAAAAAGCTCTGTATCAGGATTCCTATTTAAGATTTTCACTCCAGACCTTTTACAAAATATGTGTTTAATGGTAGTTCACATTATTTCACATATATTTTTATAGATATACAGGGCGAGTCAAATATATTTTTACACATAATTTTTAGTTTTTCAAATGAACTGCTTTATATTTGTGCAATGGATTTGCTATAAAATTCAGGTTCCAAAAATACCTTAATACTATAGAGTATACTTAGTGGTTTTTGAATTATGACCACGTCCATTAGGACGTCAATCTCAACGTCCAGGAACCTTCGTATGAGAACTTCTAATCGAGACGATCGACTTATTGTAAGTTTATCGCTAAGAAACCGCCGTTTGCCATGTTTTGAAATTTATAATGAATTGTACCTAAGGAATTTACATATTAACTAACGGACTATAAGAAGACGGCTAAATGAAGCAAATCTTATGTCAAGATGGCCTGCTTCGGGACCAGAACTTACTGGAAATGTTGACTAGGACTAAAAGCAAAGTCATGGTTTTAATGTAAAAATTATGAAAAAATGTTAGTATCTTTTCAAAAACGAATATCTCCAACAAAAAAAGCTAATGAGATGAACCAAAACACAAGCGATCGAGAAAGGATGTATCTAGATGATAAAATGATTTTTAAATTTCTTGCTATTTTAACATATTCCACAGGGTGTTTCAAACTTTTACCAAAATATCAACATTTTGTTTTTCTTCGTATAATTAACAGATAGGAAGTTTCATTTTTAATTTAGAAATAGATACTAAAAGTCAGATAATTTGGCTACATACTGCTTAAAAAATCATCAAAATCGCCTAGTTCAAAAAAAACCCACTAGAACAAAACATTAAAATTTAAAATATAGTCTGTGAAACGAATAACTTTGAATTTGACAGTTCCCGCGGGCTTTTCTAGTGTTAATTTTATTAGGTTAGCAACTTGCGGCTTGTTGCGGCCATGCTGACGCAATGCCGTCTCTAATAGAACAGCCTCGGAGCGAGATTTATAACGTCACGCTAGTTAGATACTAGAGATTAATAAATATGTTGAAAAAAATAGTGTCGAATATAATCCAAAAAATTACATATAAAATATTCACAACCTAACCTGACACCACATAATGTTTACTGCAATTAATACAATTATTAAACTAATATAAACTTGTCAAAAGATGACTTAGTTTTTAAAATTATTATTCTTAACACTAAAACTATTTACATTGACTATGGCTGAAATCGTACTCCATAGTCAATGTATAGATAGTTTTAGTGTTAAGAATAATAATTTAAAAATATGTGGTCATCTTTTGACAAGTTTATATTAGTTTATTAATTGCAGATTGCAGTAAACATTATGTGGTGTGTGGTGTGAATATTTTTAATATGTAATTTTTTGGATTATATTCGACACTATTTTTTTCATATGACACAACACTGATGAAGGCTATAATGTTAGTCGAAAATTAATAAATAAATAATAATATAATAATAAAAATTATTTTAGAGAATAATTCTATTTAGGTTTATTGAAAAGCATTAGAACCCACATTCAAAAGAATAACTTTAGATATTTTTGATTAGCTCGTTTACGAGTTATCGCCGATTTCTTTTTAAATATTTCTCCTTTCTTATGGCCCTGTATTTACTTATCAGCGCCAGTCAAGGTAAAAGATAACTGTCAAATGAAGTTGTCATTTCAGAAATTTACCTATTTAGTGCTTTATTATTATTCAAAACTCATTCCTACATCGGAAATCTTAAAGATGTATTTATAAATACAAATTAATATGATTTAAAGTAAAATAAAGTAATCAATTAGAAGGTTAATTATAGTATTATTACAATATTCAATAACTTATTAATTTAGGTACTATTTAATTGTTAGAACTTTAGTATTTAAGAAAATGTTCAAATATTCCTCCATTGACTGCTAGACAATAACCCGGGCGACCATAAAATTCTCTTCTTACATTCGCTAGTTGGTAAACTGAAACTCTATTGCATTCGGCAGAAATAGCATTTTTTAACTCGTCTAGATTTGGGTATTTTATATCCTTGTATATCCTGTTTTTTAAATGGCCCCACAGAAAGAAATCATTTGGCGAAATATCAGGAGACCTTGCTGGCCATTTTACTGTATGATTTAGGCCAATAACGTTTCCGTTAAAACTATTGCCTAAATATTCCCGTACAGCCAGGGTGTGCCGGGCAGCCATCCATTTGGTACCAAACTTCCTGATTTTCCCTAGCGGCATCATGTAAAGCAGGTAAAATATGATTTTCGAGTAGTTCCAAATAATATTCTGCATTTAAATTTCGCGTAAGAAATAATGGCCAGATAATATTGTGTCCGAATATCCCTGCACAAACATTTACTTTCTGTGGATATTGCGTCCTTGTTTCGACAAACCTGTGTTGGTTTTCTTTGTTCCAATATCGATAATTTTGAATCGATAAGTATCGATATTTTTGATTGGGTTCATTATTTAAGGTAAACGTGCATTCGTTTTTTAAAAATTCCCTATCTGTGTCTGCTCTTTCCATCATATCAAAACAAAACGCCTGCCGCCGTATTTCGTCCATATCTCGTAGCTCTTGGTGCTTTTCATATCTGAAGGAATAGTATTTATATCGTTTCAAAATTCGAAACGCTGTAGTGTGATCTATTCCTATTTCATCCTCAAGTTTCCTTGTGCTGATCTTTTCATCGTTCTCTTCCACGCACAATAAAACTTCCAAGTCGGTATCATTTCTTGCATCTTCTCTTTGTTCCTGCCTTGCTTCACATCTGCAGTTATTTATTAGGGTACCTTTGGTCTCAAATCTCTGGATATTCCTTGCGATTGTAGATTTTCCACGTATCGGTCTATGCTGATACAGAGCAGCAAACATGTCCGGCACCTTTTAATAACTATTTCCTTGATAATACAAGGATAATACCATTTAATCATCAATACTTTTTCTTCGGTAGTGTAATTCATGGCTAATATTTTCGATGTAAGTGTGAGTTTTTAATAATAATCATAAAGCACTAAATACTTATACTACTAATTGACTGGTGCTCATAAGTAAATACAGGGCCATAAGAAAGGAGAAATATTTAAAAAGAAATCGGCGATAACTCGTAAACGGGCTAATCAAAAATATCTAAAGTTATTCTTTTGAATGTGGGTTTTAGTGCTCTTCAATAAACCTAAATAGAATTATTCTCTAAAATAATTAGGAAAGCCAATAATTAACCCCATTCAAATTTACATGGGATTTCCTATGTCCCGCTCGACGATGCAACACCCGGTATGCTTTTTACCAGACCATCATATTCAACATACACAATATACAACATACACAATATACAACATATTGTTATTATATTTTTAAAAACTTCTTTCTTCTTTTAAATATTAGAAAATATCCTAATATCTTAATATCGCTGATACGATCAAGAATAAAAACTTTTAAAAACAACGCCTCCGCCATAATATCAAGAAACATAGGCCTGAAATAAAGTTTTAAAAATATACACACATATTCTTTGTTTCCCATTATCTGACCTATCTCACCCCTGAAAAATTGAAAAAATGAGTTACGCCATTTGATACTTCCCTACAGGCACAACTTTTAAGGACTCTAACTGTATCTATGACAGTATCAAGACTGTGATAGCATTTGGATTCGAGGTATCTTGCAAAAATTATAAGTTTAATAAAGGTCATTCTTTATTTTGTTGTTTGTTCTTTTTCTTTCCTTATATTTTCTTTTTAATAAAATTTCATTATTATATTAAAGTTTTTATATTACTTTAATAAAACACCATTAAATCAAAGTATACCCATTAAATTATTTGAAAATCTCTTCTCTTTTTTTTTCATACAAATAGTTCCATTTGCATATTATTTAACAATATTGTTACTTAATTATTATTTCTGAATAATCTTAATATATAAACTGGTTAAAACACATTAAAATAGTTTAAATCATGATTCAGTAAATATTTTTAGCTTTACATAAACCCTTGAATATGATGATATACTTTTTATAACTATATCTCTAAAGCTATAAATAAATAACTCATTTGTATATCCATGATTCTTGATATTGTGGCGAATGAAACTTAAAATATTTAATTTATTTTATATTGTCAGACAATATTTTGATTATGGCAATAGTCATTTGCTATCCACAATAACAAAAAGAGAACAATATATTTATATTTGGAGGATAATTTAAAATAATTCAAAGTTCTTGTTGTAAAAGTAAATGCATACATTTATTTGTGGAATAACCTACATCATTTTTACATCCTTACAGACTAAAAATATAGCTAAATTAGCTTTGCTAACTGATACTTTTTTATTTAAAGTTTTATCAATATGTGGCATTAGCTAGATTTTCTTAAATAACTTTGTATAGCCACTAAATATTTAAAAACAAAATATACAAATATTTTTTAAATTTAGGACGCGATATAATGTTAGTTGCATACCTTATGACGCCATAGGTAAAATTTTCTATTTACTTTCTAGGATGTTCCAAATTTTACTCTGAGGTTCCAAAACATTCTCGATCTCTCTCAATTTTTCTAGAACTAAAGGAAAATGGAAGATAACCTCAACTTTTCTGGAATTATTTATTTATTTACAATATTTAATTGTTAAAAATAATAAAATATTATTGTTACGTAGATAGCGTACATAAGTTGAAAATTAAATAATAATGTAAGTATGTTTAAAACTAGCTTGTAATTTACCAAAATTTCTTGATTGTATGAATGTAAAAGATGTTATCATACAAGTAATGCACTGGAATTTGTCTATAATGTCTTGTTTTATAGATTCTTTCGAAATGACTGAAGTATTTAACGATTTTGTCCCAACTAGAGCTTCCTTATTAAAAGGCAAGCCGGTAAATGATTATCAAGAGGTGTCCTTTACCAGTTATAAATCAAAGGGCAAAAAGGAATCAACAAAAATGGACTCGGAGGATAATATACTGAAGAATGATTTAGATGTTAAAAAAGTGAAGCATGAGATTGTAAAACTTAGTATAGAAGGCCTTAACCCACTGAAAAAGGAAGAAGCCAAAATACAACTTGCTATTAAATTAGGTAATAATAAATCAAGTTTAATTTTCACCTTTCACCAAGAAGCCTATATTTTTTCCAGGAGCAAAACCACCAAAAAATAAATATAAAAATTACAAAGAATTAATAAAGGAAAGGAAAGAGCACAAAGAGAAAATAAAAAAACAAGAAAGTTTTCAGCAATTAGGAAAAAACGCAATAGGTAAATCGACAGCTAAAGGGAAGAGCTTCGACAAAAAAAGAAAAAAGGAAGGCATTTTAGATGTATATGGTAAAGTTTCCAAAGATGTTAAAATATCGAAGTTTAATAAAAGATGATTTAAATAAAAGTCCAGTTATATTTCCTTACACAAATCCCACTAAATCTAATTGATATAGACTAACTTTGATTTATTTAGTGGCTCACCCCTATAATTTAAAAAAATGCTTTTTCCAAATATGCTAATGAGCTACCCTCATTCCATTTGAAAAAATTGATATGATTAAAAATACGATTTGGGCATCTTTTAACTGGCCAGGACAAGACACTAAAAACATTAGATGGTCAAACCTATTTTTCCAAGGCTCCTTGATTAAAAATTAGTGTTTTAAACACAGTCATGGCACTCTATTGAAACTTAAAATGGAATTTTTTTAAGCAAAAATGTCAAGTTGACTTATATCATTCTATTCAGTGTCATTTTCTATCGAATAAGAAAAAAAACCGAGGGTGCTATAAAAATTGTAGTCATTTCCGGCGAAACAGTAAGTGACCAAAACAATTGAATAAGTCAATCAGTCCTAATTTATGTCATAATATACTAACATACCAAATATCCTTTTTTATGTACAAAAATAAAAGTTATAAGAGACAGCCTTTTGAGACACACCCGGTATAGGAAAATGGGTAAAATAAAAACACACTTTTTTCTAGAATATACATATATTGCTCAATTCTCTAATAATAAACAGTAAAAAAATTATATACAATAATATCACTTATATATTATATAAAATAAATGGGGCCCCATTCACACTTTGTACTTCTTCCTTACTATTTTCACCAAAAATGCTGAAACTCAAGAAAAGAAATCTATTTAATATAAATACTTAGAAATAAAATTAACCAGGAACAAATAAGTCCAGTAGTAGTAGTACCATTGCAAAGGTAAACTGTTTTTGTTTCAGTCTTTTTTAAGGCAGACAGTTTATCAATTGAAATGATGCTTTTAGAACAATATAGATATGTTCCACAGCCCATTAAATCTTAAACAACTCATTCCATAAAAGCATTTTTTCCATTTTTTAATACGGCTAAAAGTAAGAATAACTTTTATAAAAACCACATAATTAAACGTAACAACATATACTTTTAGGAAGTTCATCTCTGATAGTTATTTAGGAAACTTGTTTTTAAAAATATAAATATTTTCTTATATTTATGGTCATTTTTCTTAATAATACTTCTGAGAAATTCATTTAACAAATATTAATTCAGTAATACCACTACTTTCTAACAGCCATAATTTTTATTAAATAAATATCTTATTATATTATATATCACATAAGAATTAAACATTTTTGAATTATGTTAATTTATGTACATATATTTATAAATATCTTGCTTAATATAGACAAAAACATAAATATTTTCATTGGTATAAAAATATTTATATTTTTTTTGTCTTAAAGCCATTTAACAGTCAAGTTTTTTAGAGCTTACTATAACATAAACTTACTCTAAAAAACACTATAAATATGAAAATGCATTACTATTTCTCAAGAATAATCATATCAGAGTTAAACTTCCCAAGTTAAGAAGGAACATATAAAAATTATACCACACCTGTTATTGATCTGAAGAAGGTATTGGGAAAGGCTGTATATGTATACCTTTCGAAATATCTTTTCACACCATTTTTTAACTTTTAAATTCAAAATAAACTTTCCCAAAAAATTAATCCATGTCAGTGGCATGATCCTAAAAAGATTAAAATAATCTCGCTGTATATACAAGAGAAATAGTAAAAAACAAAGTGTATAATCACTTTGTTACTTTAATACTTCAAATTAGAGCTAGCTATTATGAGAATTAAAATTTAAAGAACACTTCCTTTATGAGATCTTTCTATTGACTTTCGGTCAAGTAAGTAGTGGTTTCAGGTGAGAAACAAATCTTAATCTTGCCACTACTGTGGTCACTTTCCATTCAGAAAAATTTTTCTTTTCGAGAGTTTCACTTTGATTTCCAACCTTCTTTGGCATTATCACAACATGTGGGGCAAAATTCCAATGAAACTTTATTTTTTGAAACATGAAGGCAAACACCAACATCACTATCATCATTTTCAATTGCACTACTATATTCTGATTTGATAGGGCTGTGATAGTTACTATAATCATCTGTTGAAATGCTAGGTGATTCTAGGGCCTTTTCATCAATCATATTCAGTAATTCATCACTATCCATTTCTAAAGGTAAATCCATGTCGTCTAACAATAACCCATCGTTCTTTAGTTCTTCAAACTCAGGACTTCCATAGTAGGAATATGTTGAGTCTGGAGTTGGATAGTTGACATACGAAGGGTCCTGTTCCTCCCAGGGATGTTTTTTCAGGTCGAACTTTAGTGTATCCCCTTTGGCGTTGTTTGAAAATTCAACATCTGGTACAACTTGTTTGTACAATGGACTAGATGCCTTAGTTGTGCTGTCAGCTAACTGGTTGTCTATTGATGTTGAGACAGCCAGACCAGTAGAAACATTAATGTTACGTATTAACTTTCGAATGTCCTCACTGTTGGATATAACACTTTTCAGATATTTTATTTCTCTCGTGAAGTCATTAATCATTCGAGCTTGCTTTTCCACGACGCCATTTAACTTTTTGTTGTCGTGTTTCAAGGCAGCTACTTGTCCTTCCAACTCGGAGATGTACATTTTCTTTTTGAGCCTGTTTTCCCTGGCCATCAGGGCATTCTTGGAAAAACATTTGGGGACTCTGGTCGGCTTTCTGGTCTTGACTTTCTGTAAATCAGGTATATTAGTTAACTCCCTGTAGAGAGAATCGAAAGTCTCACTCGGTACCTGATTATTAGTGTTATTCGGGATGTAATCCCTGTCTCCAGTATCTCTGTAATCCATGTCTCCAGTTTCGTCATCTGTTGTACTTTCGGAAACGTATCTGCTGCGATTGGACACCATCGTGGTAGAGTTTACAAAACTTTACACAAGATTGTCTAACTTGTAGCACTGCTATAACACCACTTTCTGTATACAATGTTTAGTTTTATAGTCACAATATTTTGTTTTGGTCTCGAAATACACGTCACTGATGTTTATTAACTCGTCGTCAACTTTCAAATGGCCGACGTGCCTAAATACACGGGTTTTTATATGCTACTTTCTGATTCGTGGAATTCTCTAGAACAAGCGATTCTATTGGTCCGGAGTTCGCTAGAAGGATGGAGGAAATGGCGGTAACGTGATTCAGCCGTTTGTTTATATACAATTTCTCCGGTAAATGATGTCAACATGTTTACGTTTTTTTTTGGATATTCCAAGGATTGTAATCATTGACCTGAATATTGTCAACAAAAACATTACAATTTGATAATTACTTTATTTATGTAATTCCTAATAAATAACTTTTATTTGCAGATTATCACGTAAAATAAATACCTACAAGCCTAGAATTTTAAAAGTGAGAGACTTCTGCACGCGCAAATTAAATTTAACCTTTTAAATTAGATTCCTCGAAGTATGTTGTAGTGGAATAACATTCTCTGAGTCCCATTTAATAATAGTCTAATTAGTTACTTGAATAAATGCATTTTTACTTTGGATTTATTATTGTGTATGCGATGTATGCCTCTATCTACTAATGTAGTTAGATACAGTTAGATAGGTACCACCATGGTACCACAGTACCACCTTATAACTCTATTTAATTTATGGACCTTTGATACCACCTATAGCACGTATTTAGAAGGTAGGTAAAATATTTGTTATTATTTATTATACATATAGATTAAATAGATTTTAAAACATAAGATTATTTATAATGCTCACAAAAAAATTGATCAAAATATTGGTCTAGTGAAATGACAGAAAGACAGACGAAACTCAACCGTGTTGTCATATTTATGTACCCATCTCTTTTTAACTCTCATAAAAGTGCCGAACCATGTATGATTCTAAAAAATTGAGTTTTATGAATGGAGTGTTCTGTCTACCTATATTTAGATGTCTTTGATTACCAATGTTGGGTCTGAAAAAATAGTATTATCAGTCTATAAATAAATTTAATTTAAAAAATTCAAAACAGCAAATCAACCTTGGAAAAAAACAGTTTCTGTTTTTTGTTTTTTTTTTTCATGTGCATACAAAACTCAAAAACCTTGAAAAATCTATAATCTCGTAATTTGCGGCTGAGATCATGCGCATTAAAATGTCATTCTTCTACTTATATTTCTCTCTTTTTAGCCAATGAAGTGGACAAAGGATAAGCACGTGTTCTGCCGATTAAAGTTCAAAAAGATTTCTAGACAATTGTGTTTTTTGACAGCTGGACCCAAGCCTTCTTTTGACAGCTACTATCGTTCCCAAAAAAGTTGTTATGCTTGGGTCCCTTTGTTTATTCTTCATCATTTAAAGTAATTTAAGTTTTAAGTTGAGATTTTTACATTACTTGACTTGTGCTATAAATTATGGATGATCCTGGACGTATGATGAGCCATACTGCGCCAGGTCTGATGCCTCCTCAACCTTACGGAATGACCCCTCAAGGTAAGATCAACTTTCATCGAAATTTACCCGTTTAGTTGAAAGTTATTTACCTCTAAAATTTAATTTTCATTATATCAAATATAATCATTAAACCTTTCCATATATTAAACGACAGAAAACATTTCTTTTCTTACATATTATAGGTGATGCATCTTCAGGAGACAATGAACCTAGAAAGCAGGATATTGGTGAAATTCTGCAGCAAATAATGAATATTACAGATCAAAGTTTGGATGAAGCACAGGCTAGAAAACACACATTGAATTGTCATCGAATGAAACCAGCTTTGTTCTCAGTACTATGTGAAATCAAAGAAAAAACTGTTCTGTCCCTTAGGAATACTCAAGAGGAAGAGCCTCCAGATCCACAACTCATGCGGTAAGTTGTCAATTATTAAACATTAAGTTATGACTCAAATTACTAGCAAGTCTAATTACCTAATTCAAAATTATATGAAAATAATTGATTTTCGAGGGGTAAACCGCTGATCAAATTTTTGTACATCAATGCCTAATTTGGGAATTAAATTGACATTTCCTACGTAATTCCCACAATTCCACATAATACCTAATAATTCCTAAGAATGCCTGCTAATTCCTAGTAATTCCCCTTAATTGCCTATAATTCCTCTTAATTCCTACAATTCTCACTAAATTCTCTCGCAGAAATACTTATTAACAATTCCCCAAAAATACCTCTACTGATTCTTCTAAATAGTAGTGAAAAGATTATTTAAAATTAAGAGAATGTTGCGCGAACGAAGGTTTTACTCTCCGTCTTATTACCTTAACTAACTTTTAGTTAATAAGGATAATACTAGATAACACTTATGGTGAGGACACACAAGGCGGCTTATGGTTCGTCAGATCTGAGGAGCCAAGCGCGAGACATTCCAAATTCGCTAAATGTGGACGGGTCTCGCGAGAGCCTCGCGAGACAACCCACGGAGCCTCATTGCTATCCGTCCCCTGTCGGTTTTCTCGACGGCCGAGATCAAAGAAAGCTCGCGGCTAAGTCTTGACGTGTTTATGGTAGGCTCGCTCGACTGCCAGATATTAGCTCTGATTTATGAATTTCGACTATTTAAAATTAAGTAATCTCAAATTTTTAAATGGCACACCATATGTATTATCATTTTTTCTGATAGAATTTACATGTTTTGCGTCACTGATAATTTTTACCGTACCGAAATGCTTCACAAATATTTCTTTAAACAAATTGAATTATTACAAAATCTATTAATTTTAGATATATAATATCATATGCAAAAAAGGTTACCAAATTGTTCGTAGAATCTAATAACAAAATAAAAAATAGGATATTCCCATTAGAAAATATATGTTTTATCTGCAACACTTTTTTGAAGTACTCTGTATACTCTACAGTAATGTTAAAATGTGCCTCTGAACTTTCCAAATAATTTTTTTATTGAATATTTTGTTCTAAAAAAACGTTAAAAAACGTATTATGTAAAAAAGTCGTGTGTCAAAACAAATGAACAAACAGCCAAAAGGGAAAAAACCGACGATGAATAAAATACGACAAACCAAATACCATGTTAAAGATACACAAATTTATTACTGTGTGCATTATTATTTGGCCATCGTTTGTTATATTCAATTACAATTTAATATGTTTTGGCTTCCTCTCACTATGATCCAACTCGGGCTGGTCTCGTAGCAGGCTTGCGTCAAAAAATGGATAGAAACTGTGTCGCTCGCTTGTCTTGCTCGGCTTGTCAAGTCTGGACCCACCATAATATTTATGGGTCCATAAAACATAAAAATTTTCGCAACACAACCTATATCCTCAATTCTGGACCAAATAAAATGGTTAAATTCGTTTTTAAGGAATTTGATTTTAAATCTATTGTTGTCAACTATTTCAATCACTGTCAATGTAATAATTCTCATCCACAAAACATCCCCCTTTAGAACTTTTTCTTTAATGGCCATAAGCGGGAGTAAAAGACCAACCGCCCGAACCAACACTAGAGGCGCCACCGGTCATCAAATGGTGTAAAAATTGCAAAAATTTAATCATCGAATTTTGACACAAGGGGTCGCGCTTATCTTTTTTAATTTTAATTCAATATTCATTGTTTTCAAACTATAATTGTTGTATTTTGTGAATGTATAAATGTTTTATTAGCATAAAGTTGCAATATAATAATTTAAATTATATTACATACATATTTAAAATTCAAATATTATGACATATAAGTATGTCAGTTGTCGTCTAAAATGTCATCTTGATAACAAAAAGTTAGTTATTGTCAGAAACAGTTAAAATCGTTAAAATCATGTTAAAATATTAAAATTTACAAGTTATAATTAGATATTTTATATTATTTCAAAAACAAAAACATAATGGTACCGCGTAATGTTGATATGCAGGTCCAAAATAAAAAGTGCCGTTTTATTTTTTCAGTTTTCGTTGTCAGCCGCGGAAGTTTCCAGTGATTTTAGTGTTGTCGGATATTTTAATTTGTGAAATAGAAACATTGCGTTTGGATTGCAAAAAAGTGGAAGTTTTATTGCAATGTAAGTGTTAGTTTGTCCGTTTTATATTATACTTTTTTCATACCTACGACAAATATACATAATATTTTGAAATTTTATAATTCGTTTTATTTAAAAAATGTTAGAAAACAAGCTTGTTATCCTGTAATTGACATAATTGTTATGTAATATATTCTATTTAAATGTAATATATTACTTTACAATTAAAAAATGTAAATTTAAAAAATATATTAAAAATATATACAGGCATTAAATGAAATTTTTTGAGTGCGAACAAACACGAGAGGCGCTTTATTATTTACTTTCATTTCATAACATGACAGATGAAGTTCTAAAGGGGGATGTTTTGTGTTCTCATCATAAAATATGGCATAATATGATTTTATTAAAATAATATTTTCATCTTTGTTTTGCTTTGTAACGCCAAAGCATCATTGCCCCTTTTCTAGATCGGAAAAAAGTTTCTGAGCCATCTGAGGTACTGTCATGCAAGGAATATATTTACATTTTACCCATTATCTTATGTACCTATACATTATTTGTACATTGTAAAACATTTGCTGCATTTGTATGGTTCATAGTTTATTTGCCAAAGTATTTATTACTATAAATAGGTATATATGTTGTAGTTATTAACTGTATATTATGTATATTTCATGTAAACTATATCATTTATAAAATACAAACCAAAAATCTGAGGAATAATTATGTTTTCCATGTATTCTACAACATATTTATTAATCTGTTATATCTAACTAGCGTGACGTCATAAATCTCGCCTGTAGGCTGATCTTTTAATAGAAGGCACTGGGCAAATAATTCCCACAATTCCTAAATAATTCCTTCATAATTCCCACGATTCCTCTATAATACCCACATTTCCTTAGTAATTCCTAATATTTCCGATAATTCCTAGATTTCCTAAAGATTTCTCTGTAATTCCTAACAATTCCCGGATTTGTACACCACAAATCCCCAGCGGTTTACCCCTCGTTGATTTTATTTATTTATTTTTTAAAAATTACGATTTTCTCTAACCCTGTTTAAAAATGTAATAACTTTTTTTTCTATTAATTTAAGGTTGGACAATATGCTGATTGCCGAAGGCGTTGCTGGCCCTGAGAAAGGCGGTGGAGCTGGAGCAGCTGCTTCTGGCTCAGCTGCTGCACAGGCCGGTCAGCCTGATAATGCTATTGAGCACTCGGATTATAGAGCAAAATTGTCGCAAATAAGACAAATCTACCACCAAGAGCTAGAAAAATACGAGCAGGTAAAATATTTAATATATAATTTTGTAAATTTGTGTAATAAAATTATTTATTAGGCTTGTAATGAATTTACCACGCACGTAATGAATTTGCTCAGAGAGCAATCACGGACAAGGCCTATAACTCCCAAAGAAATTGAAAGGATGGTTCAGATCATTCACAAGAAGTTCAGTTCGATCCAGATGCAGCTGAAACAATCGACCTGTGAGGCTGTAATGATTTTAAGGTGTGTAATTGTTATTTTTTTAATAATTAATATTGGTTTAAAAACTGTTTTTTATTGGTTTACAGGTCACGTTTCTTAGATGCTCGCCGGAAAAGAAGGAACTTCAGTAAACAAGCTTCAGAAATTCTAAACGAATATTTCTATTCACACCTGAGCAATCCATATCCTAGTGAGGAGGCAAAGGAGGAATTGGCAAGAAAGTGTGGCATCACTGTGAGCCAAGTGTCAAATTGGTTTGGCAATAAGAGAATTAGGTAAATATGACTATATTTGTAATTTTTTTGATTCGTATGTGATATACAGGGTCTTTCAAAAAACATCTGCCATCTCTCGTGGGGAGATTCCTCAGGTAAAAATTAGATTTATTTTTCATATCAATATATTATTATGTCCGATTCTGTTTAGTTTCGTAGCTACAGGGTGTTAAAGTCTTAATATTTTTTCTATTTATTATAGTTTTCTTTCCAACCTTTTTAGCGTTTCAAATGAAATTTTGAGAGTAAAAGTTACTATAAATGCGACATATTTTAAACCTAAAAAAGTGTCAACATATTCACCAGGGACGTACATATGGGATATCACTGGAATATTTTTCTAAAAAAAACATGTACGCCACTTACATTTTTTTTCTCTTGTTAACAAAATCATTAACTTGCAAAAGTTTTAAATAGATACTCATTAATTTCTCATCAGAAAATATGAAAAAAAGTTCCTATAAACATGGGTATGGAAATGCATATTTTTAGAGTTACAGGATATAAAAACGTTAAAATTTTTAAAATTAGGTTTTTTGTAATCTTAAATACCATTATTTTTTTATTTGAAATTAATATAGGCTGGACTAACAGTAATAATAATTAATAGTAATAATATTTAATAATAAATTAGGTAAAATACTATACCTATAAGTTATTCATTTTATTTTTATTCTAATTTTATTTAATTAACAAAATTGCGTTTATCTTATTAAGGAGGCTGAATTCTATAAAATATCAAGACATGGCTTTTAATTGGCATTAAACGGCCTACACAATTTTTATACCAAAAGAGAAAAGTCAGTGGCGCAAATGTTTTTTTTGTTTCTGATGAATTTCTCGACACTTTTTAGCATTAAAATATGTAGCACTTATAGTAACTTTTACCCTCAAAATTTCATTCGAATCACTAAAAGAACTTGGAAGAAAATTATAATAAATCGAAATATTATTAAGACTTTTACACCCCGTAACTACGAAACAAAGCAGAATCGGACCTATGTTGATATGAAAAATAAATCTTATTTTTACGTGAGGAATCTCTCCAGAGAGATGGCACCTGTTTTTTGAAACACCCTGTATATTAATTATTTGAAATTATTTTTTGTTAATTTACAAAAAACAAAAGTTGCACTTCAATCCATGTTGTTGCTCTTGTTTAGAAAATTAATTTAAAAATAATATGTGAGAACATTTTATCACCCTGTCTACAGTTAACAGATAGATATGTCTGAAATACTTTTTTTTATATGGTTCCAAGCACAAATTAGTATAACTATAATTAAAATATTAATCATTGCTGGAATCACTGATATCAATTTTTAACCTAATACAGTTTTTAAACATATTTCTAGATATAATTTAAAACTTAATTTCTGATTATTTTAATACCTCTACTGTACTTTACTTTAAAATTATAATATACCATATGATCGAAAAAAAAACAGCGTCAAAGACAGCTGGGGAATGACAATTGATAAGTTTGGCCGTCATTTACCTGGTCTGTACTCTTCTTTACTTTTTTAATGGCGCTTACTGCTAGTTGGCCTTAAAGCCTAGTTCGTGCACTTATGAATTGCGATTTAAGAATTGCGAAATGCGTTCTATTTTGGTTCTGATTGGCCACCAGGAAGACCTTGAAAGCGACCAATTGCAAGGCAAAAAGAACGCATTTCGCAATTCGTAAATCGCATTTCGCAAGTGCATGAACTGGGCTTAAGAAGGTTGTAATTTATTTTTATATTGAACAAAAATTATTTTTAAATGGCGTACTTTAAAATTCGAGAAAAAACATTTTTTTGGAATGTACTTGTGTATCTCGAAACGTTCTATCCTCTTTTAATCTTTCTAAAATTAGTGTTAATTTTTGACAAGTTATACGTCAGTGTTTAGTAAATGACATCTAGAGATTGACCCAAAAAATTATAATCGATTTTCATCCACTGCCGTCTTTGACACCGTTTTTTTTTTCGATCATACGGCACTACCTAGATCAAATACTACTCTAACAATATTTGGAATAATAATGTAAACAATTATTGTGTCACAGATAAAGCATATAGTTATAGTTACAGTAAATAAAAGTTTATCAGTGACAGTTACATTAGGACACTTTATAGAAAATAATATTATGTAAATGATACAAATCTAATCAGGTAATTCTTTCTTGAACGGGTTTGTTTAATTTTTGTGACAATTTTTAACTTGGTTCCTAATTTTATCTAAGAGGATTTTAATTAAGTATTGTTTTTAAAACCAAATATATTTAAATACAAACATATATTATTTTGAAAATATAATTACAATACTGATTTGGTAATTACAGGGAAGATAATAATATTTCATGATTGATTGTGTACGTGCAACTTTGTCTTTTGCTATATATGTACTAAATATGTATACACTAAAAAGTAATTCATTTTAGCAAAAAAGTTATCAGTATACAGGGTTTTTCCCACAACCTATTCTTTTTTATTTATATTTTTTGACCCATTTTATACAATTGGGACCAAATCTGAATGTTTAAAATTATATATAAATAAAAAATAAAGAAGGAAATTAAATTTTGATATATTCAGAAGGTCTCTAACTTGTATGATTATTTATTATTGAAGCTAATAAAACTTTTTAGATGAGTTAAACTACAGCGAGCATAGTTTTGCTAGTGGGGATATAACTTGGTCTATTTCGGCTATAACGAAATTTTTTGAAGGTACATAATTATAATTTTAGAAGATATTCATAACAAATTTAAGCACTAGTTGATTAAAAAAAGAGTATACCATTAATATTGAAAATTATATTTTATCCTCTCATAGTATATGCCTATTTAATTTATTGATTATGTAATGGGCACTATGTTTACTCACTTGTTTCGTTGAACCGCTTGAATCCATTTTTGCTTTTGATCAAATCGGTGTGAGAAGCTGTGAAAATGGAAATCTCAAACACGTTTTGTGTTTTCTATCCGTGATATATTTTCAATTTTCTTTCAAAAATGTAAAAATTATATTTTGGTCAGTATTGGCTATAGGCTAATTAAACTTTGATCAATATTACTGACAAATAATTTGTCTGCTACTATGTCTAATTTTATATTTAATATATTTTTTACATTGCAATTAAGCAACTAAAAATACATCTCTGTATTTTGAGTTTTTTTCTCATAGTTTGTTTTTTTAGTTAAAACTAAATCTAATTGGAGTTAAATTAGCCCTTGGCTAACGTAAATACTACTGCCAAATTTGAAGAATATCAGCTAAAAAATGATTTAGATATTTATGAAAAAAATGTATTCCATAAATAACAGATTTGTATCTAAATTAGATTTAAAAAAAAACTAATGAGTTGTGTGAAAAATCGTGTGTATATTTTAATAAAAAAAAAAGAAAAAAAAATAATTAGGAATTTATCGTTAGAAAAAAGAGTTAGATTTTTGTTTAAATTATTATCAATATTTATTAAAATATTTGATAATAAACAACTGTATTAAAGCAATATGAAAATACAAGTAATACAGAGGGTATTGCCAGGAAACAAAAATATCGTTTATTGAAATTATTAAATATGAAATGACCTGATATCAATTATTTATGCTATACGTGATAAATTTATTGATATTAGTAGAATTTTGAGGCAGCCTAGAATCCTGGAATATTTTCTTTATTAGGTACAAGAGGAACACAGGTAGGTCTCAGAGTAGACAATTCGAACTCTCTAACACAAACTCTTTTTAACAAACCGTCTTTTTATTTTACATGCTGTATACGTAAGTACATGTTTCATGTACGCCATGTTGATGTTTCTTTATTTTTTCCCGTCGTTGGTAAACTATAATGGACATTGCTCTCGATCGAAATCAAACCATTTCGTTTGGCGGTTTATATAGAATCTCTCTCAATCCATTTTACGTTCACCAAAAGAGATCTTTAAATTTATTAACATCAACAAAACGACATATAAAGAAAAAGAGTTCACCATTAGATATTTCGAATTTTCTCCCTAGGTACAAAAAGAACATAGGCAAAGCTCAGGAGGAGGCCAATCTATATGCGGCCAAGAAAGCAGCTGGGGCATCACCTTACAGCGGTACCGCCACGCCCATGATGTCTCCAGCGCCGCAACAAGACTCCATGGGCTACTCCATGGGTTCGGCTTATGATCAGGGTTCGGCCTATGACGCAAGCAGCTGTGGCTATGATCCGATGCATGGTCAAGAATTGTCCCCTTAAAAGTACTTATTTTAGGTAGGTTATAGGACAGATCTTTTTAGATTTCCTTTTTGAATGACGTCTATAACTTTATACTGTATAATCGAAAAAAAAACGGCGTTCAGTTGGCTTGAAAATGACAGTCGTTGACCTTCCCTATATAATTTTACATATAAAATGACAGCGATCTTTATTTCATAACCATCGTTGACGGTTGGTTTTTTTATCATACTGTACCATATGGTAAAAAAAACGCGGCGTAAAAGGCGGCTGGGAATGACAATCAATACCAGAACATACTAAAGAAGAATGCTATAGTCTGTCCAACGATAAGATTCTTGACAGTGATAGATGTGTCTGTCATTTTAATTTCAAAGTAGTTTATATTATTTTACAAAGAAATAAGTTGGTACAACTGGAACTCATAGCAGGAAATTAATAATGAATAAATATATTTAAAATTTGACTGATAAATGATTACTACAAAATATTGTGAAAAAAACTGTATAAACTGAAAAAATGTAATCGAGTTATTTTATTTAACCAACGAATTATTATTAACATTCGAAATTGTGTAACACTTAAACATATAAAAAATGTCGTTCCCTAAAATTGCTTCTCTGACTTAAAATTTCATCGCACGTCCCTGTTCTTACATCTTATTGTCGCTGACTGGTTTTTAACCAAATTTGGAAAAGCGTGGTTTAGGTGGTTAGGAAAAAGAAACAAAATATCTCCCTTTTTGTCAGTTTTTAGGTAACTATAAAAACTTAACAAGTTTATACGCAATTTTTAGGTAACTATAAAAACAAGATACGCCATCTAGCGCACCAGGAAATGACTATGTATCTTAATTAACAGATCGTTCAAGGTCGTATATCTCAGTTGACTGGCCCTGCAATCAATGATAATTTGTCAAAAAACTTGTAAAAACTTGTCAAAAACGAATACTAATTATAGAGAGATTAAAATAGATATTTACGATATACAAGTGAACAGTATCATTATCCTAAAAATCAATTACCTTAATATCTTTGTTCAAATAACACCATGCAATGTCAATCAATGATAGTAAATAATATTGATGTCACTAGTTTAAAAAATGAGCGATTCGGAAAGTATTCCCTCTGACATTGAAGAAGGGGTATTCATAGTCATTTCTGGATTGCTTCCAGCAAGATCGAAACAGAAGTATGAATATACATACTCTAAGAATGAAAAATGGCGCACCGAAAAAAAAGTACACAACTATGGAAATGAAAAGGTACTCATAACATATTTTTCCAATTCAGTGCAAAATAAATGTTTTACAAAATATTTTTTTTCTCTTTTATAGTTATCTAAACAAGGAGTGCGGTAATGAAAATGCGTGAGTTAAGAAGCTCTTAACTCACTCAAAATGCGTGAGTTAAGAGCTTCTTAACTCATTGGCGTAGATAAAAGAATAGACGTTTCCAGACACACAAATATATTTTTCAAAAATATTTTTCTCGAATATTCTCTCGAAAATAATTCCGACCTTCTTAAGGGCAACCGGCAGTAAGCACCATTAACAAATTAAAAAGAATACAGGTCAAATAATGACGTCTAGGGCTTGACCTCGCCAAAATTATCATCGATTGTCATTCCGCAGCTGTCTTTAACGCCGTTTTTTTTTCGATCATATGGTATTTTTAAGGAAATAAATGCTTTTAATTTATTAAATATTTAACAGTTTAATTTAAATATAATTCTGGTACTGTTTTAAACAGATTTTCATTAGTTTAAAAATAAGAAAAACTATTTTATAATTGTTTAGGCAGTTCATGTTCAACCATAATTGGAAATCTAAAAAGATGAAAAGTGTAGATGATGAAGGAACACACATTTTTTCAAATTATTTAAAAAATCCCTATAATAATCCTCGTCTTACACGTGTTGGTATTATTTGACTATCTAATCACACAGGTTATTTATTGAAGCCTATGACATAACTGTATGTAGACAAAATACTTCAGAAAAAAATACACGTGTAGAGACCGTAATATTTCTGCACAAATATTTTTTATTTGTTCGGTCAGATAATAAAACGTGTCTTGTGAATAACAAATTTATTATGGTTATACTATTTATTTACATTTTTTAAGTGCCCGATCTTATTTTTTTGTCTGGACTTTCACCAATATAAATTGTTTATTCAGTCGATACAAAAATAACGCCGGCCTGCTATTTTTAGATTTTTTGGATAGTCATTAAGTCAAGGCAATGTAAAGCAGTTAATCGCCTTTGGGCTGATTCGCTTTTGATTCCTGCGACACTAAATTATTTATTTTAATTTAATTTGAATAATAATTTAATATTTGTAGAATTGTACATTGCCGTAATTATTCTACTCTTTACTAAATGATTTCATGTATTTTTTTTTTAACTTTTATTATATTCATTAAAATATTAAATGTGTTAATTTTATATATTCATTAAACATTAAATATTTTAATGAATATACAGAGTGTCAAAAAAAAAACGTGTATCTAACTTGGGTGGGTGATTCTGTAGGTAAAAATAAAACAAAAAGTGAAAATGAACATATGCCCTAAAATGCTTCCTGAAGAAGTTACAGCTCTCGAAAGGTTAAATAAAAATAATAAATTTTGTTTATTTTTAAGAACATTGGTAAACCGTTTTTCCTGAAATTTGGTTCTCTTAAAAACATTTTATGATTCCACTTTTTTTACGTAAAAACTCCAAACTATAATTCACGTTTGTTGAAATTACTGTATCTTCAACTGTATCTATAAGGATAACAGAAGTACCACCAGTAATACTCTGTACCCTAATAGATAGTACCAATTCAGGGGTGTTACAGAATTTTACACTGTCGCCATTTGCTTTGGTTTGATATAACACCAACTTCCAAGAAAAACAGTTTACCAGTCATCATTTTTTTCGTAGAAAAAATTATGATTAAGAAAATAATAAGTTCCCAAATTTATCATTCAGTAAAATAACTATAGTCTGTATGTATATTTGTATATTTTTTCACTCAGTAGTTCTATACAGGTACGGACAAAAAGTTATTACTCTTCAAAACAGTTAAAATCATGTAGGCGGCGCTCCCTACAAATAGGAGTCATAATGACGTCAAAATCAAATTTCTCATGTCAAAAAACATGTTAGACACCAATTCTCATCCAAATATTGACGTTACTTTCGAAATTATTTGGGAATAAGAACCGAAATAAATATGAAACTTTTACACCCTGTATCTCCGAAACTAAGCATTTTAGGACATACATTTATACGAACTTTTTTACTTATTTTTATCCGCAGATTATGCTGCCGAAGTTTCCGGAATACAGTTCAGACCACCCTGTATATTTTTATTTACCCTTACGAGGGCATATATGTATGTTAATAGGAACTTTTTGTTTTATTTTTATCTGTAAAATCACTCACCGAAATTAGATACACTATTTTTTGACACCTTGTATAAAAAAAGAGTCATTATAAAGTTAAGATGATTACTCAACCGTCTAGCCCAATGATGGCGAACCTATGATCCTCGAGTCAGTGTCTGTAATGTTCAGCAAGATGCATAAAATAAAGTAATGACATCATGCAACATCTTAAGAACAAGAATGATGAAAGTCAATTACTTCCTTTCATCACAGTTGGGGGTTTAGAACCTTTGGTTTTACAACAGCTAAATAAAACACTAATTATTCACCACAATACACCAAAGCCCTTTACTTCTAACACTGGACTTAAGGATGATTAAGTCACCTTTCAATCTCATCTTAAACAGTTACTTAAAATGTGTGTTCCTTTCTCTCCATATGGTAGGGGTGTGATAGAACATAGAACATCTATAATTTACACAGTTTTCTAAGTTTTTAAAACTTCCCATAACATTGATGGGTTACATTACCACAATTTTGTTCGTCACTGAGTTCTATAAGTAAACCCATACATGTGATTGATATTTAACCCTTGTTCAAGATTGTATTTTCATAAATAATATTTAAGTTCAAGTAACCCATTTCAATAAATTATGTATACTACACTTTGTATACCATGAAACTGTATACTATGCTCTAAAGATAGATAAGTTAGTAAACGAAATTAATAGGAATAATGGTACTATATGTAATATTTTTTATTCAAGTTTTAGTTCCTAGTTCAACCGCGATATTTAGTTTGAACAAAACTTTTTATAGTTTTAAGAAAATATCTAAAGTTCCATCTATGTTTTTGTGCTATAAACTGAATAACATATATTTTTTTCACTTATTTATAAAATAGGTACCTACTTCAACGCGTATTTTATCAGATAATTATCTTTACATTTACATACCGATAAGAGATGTCTTGGGTCGGTACTTGCATGTCTAGGAGTGTTTAATCCGACGCTAGATTTCATGCGCTTGAAAAAGTACTTGTAATTTCTTTATTCAATACAGCTTATTGTACTGAGCGTATAGGCACAGATTAGGTATACTATATGTATACAGATAAAAATCTTATCCCTTTTCGTGGTACGAAAATTGTTTTTTATGACGATGAGCAAACGAGTAAAATTTCCTGTGCGCAAAAATAAACTCGCGTAAAATAACAATAAACAGTAACGGTAGCGAGCATAGCTTTACGCACAGGTTTTTTTCTAGTGGGGTCATAACTGGTGCTATTTTTGCTATAACGAAATTTTTTAAAGGTACATAAGTATAATTTTAAATGTTCGTAAAACATTTAAGCACTAGTTGGTTAAAAAAAGTATACCATTAATATTGCAAATTATATTTTATCCTCTCATAGTATATGCCTACATATTTATTTTTTTGATTATGTAATGAGCACTTTGTGTACCCACTTTTTTCGTCGAACTGATTGAATCCATTTTTGCTTTTGATCGGATCGGTGTGAGAAACTGTGAAGCTATAAAATGTTGTTTCGGGAGAGTTGCATATCCGGAAAAGTTGAGTTATTGAATGTTATTGCACCCAACAACGCTCTAATTACGCCTTTCTTTACGCGTTAACATTTTTTCGGCAATTTTATTAACATTTCAAATTGTCACAACACAACACGGTATCTAGTTTGTGTTCTTTTTCAGTTCATTTTTACTAAACAGTGTCCAAAAAAAACAAGGCCAGAAATGCGGGTTTGGTTCTATTAGTTGAAGTAGAATAAGCACAAAAACTGAAAATCCAAAGTTCTGATATTTATTATGTCGTCGCATTAAAATAAATAAATAAATATTACTATTGTATCATTATTTCTGTTCAATTTCTGATAATGTGCATTACTTAGTGAATTAATACTTGTCTAGTGGAATAAGGCGTAACTTTTTAAAATTTATTTCATCTCTATGTATTAAAGAAGCTATAGACTTTTATACAGTATTTTGAAATTTTATATTGTTATATAAAATTATTTTTATTTTTTTTTGTGGTACATTTAAGAATGTACTCGTAGATTATATATATATTATCGGTTGGAAATAAGTAGAACTATTTTGATTTTTTGTTATTATTTCAGTTATATAACCTCACATTTATGTTTTATTTGTAAATGTAGGTTCAATAAGGTTTCCAGTGAATGCTTATAAGGCAGCTATTTGCAGTGTTGTTAAAAAAGGCAGCCAAATATTTGTAAATCTATTTTTTTGACAAGATCGTTGCATAATTTGAGGAAAAACATTGCAACAGCAACGTTTTGGCCTCTGTTTTACAAGTGTTGTGCAGCTGTACATTTAATTTATAGAGATAGTAATAATAGTTATAGAACTAAAGTTACATATTTTTTATGTAAGTTTTTGTGTCCGTACGAGAAAAAAATGTATTATAAATAAAATGGCCTACATTTATTTAATTTGTTTTATTTGACAATCTGCAATCCGTGCTGCAATTTCATACTAGCGACATCTATCGTGTCCTAACCAACTATTTATAGATTGTTCCTTCTAAAGCTTTCTACAGGGTGGTAATTGAAATGGTGTAAAAAAATCGGGGGATGATAGTACTCCTAAAAATAGTAAAAAAAGTTCCTATAAGTATAGGGCGGAAAATGCATATTAAGGGAGTTAGTGGCACTGAAAGGGTGAATTTAAAAAACTGTTTTTTGACATTGTAGGCTTAAAAAACGAGATAAAATTTTGAAAAAAAATCCTCTGCCATAAAAATTTTGACCCTAAATCAAATAATGACACTGAAAAATTATTTGGAAAAGCGGAAAGGGTAGTTTTTGCAAAGGTAGGGGGTTGTGTCGTGAATAACTTTTTTGAGGTTATTTTTTTTACAACGTGGGTCCATTTTTTGAAAACTACATACCCTTTCCTACAAAAAAGGTACTCTTGTTGCACGTTGCCTAGAGTGATGGTTTTCCAGAAAATTGAAGGCAAAGAGTTTGTTCTGATTGGTTGCTAACTAGTTAATCAACATAAATTTATGAAAGTTATGGCGGTTCAAAAGTAACCAAGTAGTTATTAAATAATTAATAGGAATATCAAAATTTCATGATTTTTAAAACATCTTTTTGCTTTAAAAAGGAAATAAACCAATTACCAAAATTCCTTATTAAAATAATGCATTCCTTAATTCATTCATAGTAAATGTTCAAAGCGACCACCATTCATTTCAATGCAGACATCTGCTCTTCTTCTCCAAAATCTGCGTACCCTGTGGAATATCCTTGGTGTTGTCCGAATTTGATTGGAACTGGCAATAATGCGTTGCCGTAGTTGCTCTTCAGTATTAATCGGTACTGAGTAAACCATAGCTTTGTTATTTCGTTTATTAAACCATAGCTTTGTTATTTCGTTTATTAAGATGTTTTAAAAATAATGAAATTTTGATTTTTCAATTAATTATTTGATAGCTAATTGGTTACTTTTGAACCGCCATAACTTTCATAAGTTTATGTTGATTAACCAGTTAGCAACCCATCAGAGCAAACTCTTTGCCTTGAATTTTCTCGAAAACCATCACTCTGGGCGATGTGCAACAAGAGTACCTTTTTTGTAGAAAAAAGTATGTAGTTTTCAAAAAATGAACCCACGTTGTAAAAAAATAACCTCAAAAAAATTATTCGCGAAACAACCCCCTACCCTTGCAAAATCTACCCTTTCCGCTTTTCCAAATAATTTTTCAGTATATATTTATTACATTATATACATTTGATTTAGGGTCAAAATATATGGCAGAGTATTTTTTTTCAAAATTTTATCTCGTTTTTTAAGTCTACAATTTCAAAACAACCGTATTTTAAATTCACCCTTTCAGTGCCCCTAGCTCCCTTAATATGCTTTTTTTCCGCCCTATACTTCTAAGAACTTTTTTTACTATTTTTAGGAGTACTATCACCCCCCGATTTTTTTTACACCATTTCAATGACACCCTGTATAATGCAAGTACTAAGAAGTGTACTACCGTAAATTGGGGTAACTTTGGTAAAAAGCGTCAAAACGGGATACTCATTCATATTTAGGAGTAAATAATAATGCCATTGATGTAACAAATAAATAAATATTTTTGTATTTACATATAAATATGAGTGTCACATTTTACAATAATATTTGAAAAAGTCTATCAATATTTCCAGAGTATTCTTAAAGCTTAAATCTATTATCCATTTTATATTAAATTATTTTAAACCGTGAATTATTGCTAAATTATCTAATGTACATTTTTGGTTTAAATTTCTATAATTATTATCGTCCCTAGAACAGGGATATGGAGATGTCCATAAAGTCAGTTGTGACATTTAAAAGATAAATTGACACAATATTTAATTTTGTAACTGGTCTCATTAACGGTTATCTCACATATCGTGTGAAGTAATGTGAGCTTGTACTAGGTGATCAAATATAATATAATATAACGGAGAAAATTTTGATCAAATTTACACTCTTATTTTTTTGTTATTTTTAGCCCTATTTTCATGACTTTTTTAACAAGCTGTATATAATTATACCAACTTTAATTTGTAAACTCAGTTTTTTATAAAGTTTAGTATTTGGCATATTATACAGGGTTAATCGACGGATTGTTTTTTTACCCTAACTTTGACACACCCTGTGCAATAATTTCGTGTTTAAATTTTCCTAAAATATAATTTTAGGATCAGAATCATGTCTCCTGAGCATTTTGTTTTTTGAATCATGTCAATACATGCCTTGATTAATTTTTAAGAGCGAAATGAACTTGCCACCAACAATTTGCATGTTTTGGTCTATTGATTTTTTTTTTTCAATATGACAAAGCAGCTTCGGTGATTATTGCGAACTATACACTACTATGAACTGCTCTTCATGTTCGATGTTTGGAAAATGCTGGGAAGGAGGGTTAGAGGTCGCGAAGCGTTACCAGCTTCATTAAATTAACTTTGCTTGGTCCTTAAAGAAGAATGGGAAAACAACGCAATATGATATATGCAGCCTCAATGACAGTATGAATAAACGTATACAGCCAGTTATAGCAGCCAAGGGAGGCAATACAAAGTATTAGGGTATTTTTTACAATTATTTTTTTTGTTTGTATACTTCAGTGTAGTCTTTGCTTCAGTATTACCGATGCTTTCCTTAATATCGTTAGTTCTGTTATCGTTATTAATGTTTATTAAAACCAGGACTGTATCGTTAGTCTTTAACGTTTTTTTTTTTAATTTAGTTTAAAGAGTTTAGAGTATCCGATGCAGCGTAATATGACGTTGCGACAATAGTCACCAAAACCATCTCGACTTTTTAAAAAATTACATCAAAAGTAATGATAACTGCAAAAATTGCAAATTGATCGTGATCAGTTCATTTCGCTCTTAAAAATTAACCATTGACGTGATTCAAAATTTAAAAATTCATGGTTCTTAATGTAAAATTATATTTTAAGAAAATTTACACGAAATTATTGCGCAGTGTTTTAAAGTTAGGATGAAAAACAACCCTTCGATTAACTCTGTATAATATGCCAATTACTAAAGTTTGCAAAAAACTGAATTTACGAATTAAAGTTGATAATTATGTACAGTTTGCTAAAAAATTCATGCAAATAGTGCTAAAAATAACAAAAATATAACATTTTAAATTTTACCAAAAATTTCTCTGTTGCGTTTTTTTTGCATCTGAGTGTAGATTAACAGTAATAGAGTTTGAGATGAAAATTAGCTTTTCAATGTTTTCATAGAAAAGCGTACGTATAGTAGACAATTTTCATTGTATTTGGATTTTTTTTTCTAAATAACCTCATAGAGGCCAAACACTTTGGCTAGTGTTATTTATGTTTTTTCTTTTGATTCCTAATTTTACCATGGCATTTGATCAAATTTAAATTAACAAGTTACAATAAATGACTAGTTGAAAAATATTTGTGAATATACCTACTATACAAAACTTTTCAAATTTATAAAGATGATTTTGATTGAAGAAATAAGATGCGCAACCTTATGGACGGTTTCGTGGCACAAAACAAGTCCGAGATGTAGCTGGCGTTACTGTTACATGTCCGAGCCGTTGCGCGCTAATAGTCGTTTACAGCGCAGCGGATAAAGAATACTGTATCGTAGTTCTGATTTCAGTCGACAGAGTGGATGGTTGCCGTTGACAGTGTTGCCAGAACTACTGGCAACTACTGATTAATAGATTAATCCGTAGACTTAACGGATTTTGGGTACAGTACGTTAATAATACGGATTTTCTATCATTCAATTATTTAATATAATGTTATATGATTAAACAAAGAACGGCTTCAGTACTCGGGTTGGCTTTGAAATGAGGATCACTGTTATTTCATATGTAAAATATTATGGTAAATATCAATAGTTCGTCATTTCCTAGCCAAGTAAATGACTTTTTTCGATATAAAATATTGAGTACCTATTAAAGAAATTTTTATTTTTGATGTTTATTCTATATTTAACACGAATAAGTATTCCATACATAAACGCGGATTTTTCATCTAAACATATTTTTGTCAAACGCATTACAGATATATAGATCCATTTTAATATGGCAACACTGTCGCTTTCAATATTCACCGTCTTCGATATGTCTTCGCTAGCCGAATTAGAGAAAATGAGTGTTTTATGCGTTGGCCGCAGAACGAGTAGAGGCTCCACCGTACAGCACTTGAGGCGCAAGGGGAAATCAAATCAGCCTTGTCACGCATTCGCCCATTAGGTTGCGTATCTTCCCAATTCTTTCAATTTCTTTGTAATGACAGTAAATTTATACACGAATAAATTAGAGAAGATATACAGGGTAAAGTCTAAATGATGTGCAAAAAATCAGAGGGGAGTTTTTTTATATATTAAGGTGTTTTTTCGTACAAAGGTTTTTGACTTACGATTTCCTTCAAAGTTATTTGATTATATGATGTCCCAATATTCCGTGGACAATTTACCTTCATACAAGTCTTCATTCGTCCATTAGAGGGCATCAGACTTTAAAAAAATTAACACACTTTAAGATATTTTAAGAAAGCGGTATTTGATTTATACATTTTGAGATTTGCGAATTAACTCAAAAATGCGTAGTTGTTCTATGTCCACGGAATATCGGGACAGCCTGTAGAGTATCATAATATAGAAATAAACAATTAAATTTGGTTTGTTATTCTGATTTTTGTCACACTTTCTCATTTAGGCTCTGTATTATACGAAGCTGACATTATTCAAATGTGTAAAATATAAGTATTGCTTTTTATAAATATCACTTATTATTGCTTGAAACGCAAAAGTTGTTTATTTTTTGTTTACTGCTGTTGTAATTAATTCTGTTAATGTTTTATTTCGGATAATGTTTGAGAAGTAGCCATATTTATAATGTAACAAGATTCTGATGATTCTGCAGCAACTTTTCAAAAATTTAGTTCTTGCTAAGACATATGTTCTCGGGGTTATAATATAGACTTCTTCACTTTGACTTTAACAATTTTGCCTTTGTAACTAGTACTGCAGTTCTTATTTTCGCCGTACATCCTTTGCAGCTCTACAGATATGTCCACAATCAGTTGGTTCGATTTTTTCACTTCGTTTTTGAATTTGGTCATTTGTAACTTTTCCTTTTTTATTCCTGGCTTGTGTATCAAAAAGGCGTTGTCTAGGACATAGAAGTTGTAGTCCATGATACACATGGTGTATGCCTGAAAAATAATACTTCATATATGGAATATGTCATAATAAAATCATAAATCATGTAAAATATAAATTTTAGTATCTTAAAGGTGTTATGTACACCTCTTTAAAAATATTTATTGGATATCTGGTGATTTTGTCACCCGTACAAACGACAGAGTAAGTACACACTTCACTAAGCAAATAAACTAATAAATGCATTTAATAAATGCGTTGGCGGGAAATAGATACAATATACCGGCACCAAAAAAATAAAAATGCGTTCTAGCTCTGTTGTTTGCATAGATGTATAGAATTACTAGATATCATTCGATAGGTACTTCACCAGCTGGTATATGACATCGTAACATGATTAATCATTATCATCTAGCGCCTCCCTCCCCTCCATAGTTATAACTCTCTCTTTCTTTCAATACTATACTTTAACTACAACTAAGCATATTTATGCTACTCTAACAATAAGTCGTACATTCAGGGTGCAGCCACACTATCCTAAAAATGGCGTATCGGCGTAACGGCGTAACGACCTTGAATCGATTTCCAGTAATTCTATTGGCTGAAATTTTTGACAGATGAATTTGACAGATAAAATTTCTGACAGATGAATGTTTCAGCCAATAGAATTACTGGAGATCTATTCAAGGTCATTACGCCGTTACGCCGATACGCCGTTTTTAGGATAGTGTGGCTGCACCCTCAAGCTGAGAACGTCGAGCGTCGCGTCGCGTTTGCGTCGCGTCCGCTCCATTGAACTCGAACCCCGGCGCTCAGCGGACGCTAGCGCAATGCCAAACGCGACGCTGTCTGCCTGAACGGTCTAATCTAAGTTAAGTGAATTGATTCCATTTCGACACGCGGACGCGACGCGACGCTCTCAGCCTGAATGTACCTTAATGTTCACTTAAAGACTTCAAAAAATTCTTCTCTTCGTTCATTCTTAATCTACGTTCTTTTTTCTATACCTGGTGCGTCTCGAAAGTGACCCACCCCTATAACTTTTTTATTTATTTTTTTAGATAAAAAAAGGATATTTGATATATTAGTATATGACAGAAATTAGGGTTGATTGACATATTCAATTATTTTTGGTCACTTCCTGTTTCGCCGGAAATTATGAAACTTTTGATTTTTAAATGGCACCTCGATATATTTCTACTTTATTCGATAGAAAATGACATTCTGAGTAGAATGACATCATATGTCAATTTTTGACATTTTCGCTCAAAAAATATATTATATTTTAAATTTCAATCTAGAGTGCCATGGCTCTGTTAAAAACACGAATTTTTAAACAAGGAGCCTTGGCAAACTAGATTTGATCCTCTAATGTTTTTCGTGTCTTGTCCTGGCCGGTTAAAAGATGCTTTAATTGTATTTTTAATCATATCTCAATTTTTTCAAACTGATCTCTTGGTGGCTCATTAGCATATTTGGAAAAAGCATTTTTTACGAATAATTTGGTACCACACCACACTTGGTTTTTCGAGATATTCAAATTGTCGTTATGAACCGTATGTTATAATTATTTTAAATAAACAATATGCGAAAATGTCAAAACTTGACTTATGATATATCATTCTATTCAGAGTGTAATTTTCTATCGAATAAAGTCAAAATATACCGAGTGTCATTTCCGGTGAACCAGGAAGTGACCAAAAATAATTGAATACGTCAGTCAATCCTAATTTATGCCATATACTAACATACCAAATATCGTCTATCTGAAAAAATAGAAAAGTTATACGGGTGAGCTACTTTTGAGGATATCTTCACATTTCGAGGATATCTTCACTCTTTATCAGAATTTTTTTTTATTATTTTGGGGATATTTTAATGGATATTCGTTTTTTTATGTCATTCAAATCGTTTAAATCTATTTTGGCTCTTTTTTTGGCAGATTATTTTGAATGAGTTTATTATCTATCTATACTTGCTTACAGAGCTGCAAGCTCACAGAAAACTGAACTGTTAGACGGCCAGGCAGGTAAAAAACACCACTCAATACCACTAGCAAATAATAATATGGAAATTGTTTTTAGGAACCAGTTTTGATTATTTTTTGTGTTACGCGTACATAGTGAGTCTGTTGTCTTTCAAGTAAATCAAGTGAATCCCCTACTCCGTTACGTTGCCCGAAAGACGAACGACAGAAATTATTAGAGTACCTTAAAATACTCCAGCTTATGACATCAACAATTACATAGTGATCAAAACATCACCACTTTTTAATGGAGCTTTATTCGATGACATCTAAACCTGTAGTGTATACATACTATAAAGTACGAATAGTACAAGATCGGTTAAATATTATTGTTCAAAAAACATATTTTTGTGTTTGTAGTTATTCTGAAAATTAACCATTTTACTTTATGTGGTTTTTTAGTTTCTTTTGTACCTACAATAATATTGTCAAGGTGTATGTGGCGCCATCTGTCGGAGAAGCGAGCAACTAAAACCGCAACGTGTCCAGAAACCTGAAGACAATATTTTGTTGTAGCGCCATCTCTTAATCAAGTCGACAAGTAAGCGAAGCAGACAATAGAATGTACTAGTAGATGGCGGACCCGTCCCGATAATTTTAGATTGTTCGCGAAACACTCACCACAGCTATATAAAAGGAGCGCTTACGACAGTTGGGGAAGTTTAAAGTTTTTGAAATTTGAATATACCGCGTGGAAATTGAAAATCGGACAATTTGGTGAAGGAATCTTATAAATAGTTAGTTTGTTGTGTGTTATAAGTTAGTAATTGTATATAAAGTGAGAAAAATAAATTCGTTAAGTATTTTATCGTGAGTTTAAATAGTGGACCCACGGAATCCGTAACAATTGGTGTCGGAAGTGCGATTCAAGAGGATTTTAAGAAGAAATTAAGTGGATTGGAAGATTTTTAGACCCAATTAGAGTATTTTTATGGTTGGTACAAGAGAACAAGCGAAGAAAATGGAGGAAGTAAGCAAGTTATTGGGCGATTTTATGGAGAATATGAGAAGAGAGAAGGCAGAAGAACAAGAAAGACTCCGTAGAGAAAAAGAAGAGGAAAAACTACGACGTCAAGAAGAACAAGACCAACTACAGAAAATGCTTATGGAGAATCAAGAAATTAGACAAGAACGGTTGGAGAAAATTGTAGAAAATCTAGAAGTGCGTCGCCAGAAAGATAAACAAGAAGAACAGGACCGGCTTGAGAAAATTCTGGAAGGCTTAGAGGCGCGTCATCAAAAAGAAAGACAAGAGGAACAGGACCGGATCGAGAAAATTTTACAAGGTTTTGAAGTGCGTCGACAAGAAGAAAAACTTGAAGAGCAGGACCGTATCAAGAAAAGTTTCGAAAAAATGGAAAAAAAGCAACAATCAATGTTGGAAGTACGTTGCCAGGAACAACAGAACCACTTCCAAGAAGCTGTAGAAGATCTGGAGGAGCGCCTTCAGCAGAAGATAGAAAGATTGGAGATGGACCTACAGAAGACCAAGGTACAAGTAAAGACACCTGGCGTTCAAGGAACAGCGAACCTTAAGGCCCCGACCTACGATGGACAAACGACATGGACAATGTACCACCGTCAGTTTGAAGCAGCCGCCGCTGCCAACGGATGGACTGACCAGGAGAAAGCAGCGGCACTTGTCATCGCGCTGCGTGGCCCTGCCCTGGAACTGTTGCAAACTATTCCTGCAGCCCAACAGCAGGAATACCAAACTTTGGTCGCTGCACTGGACAGAAGATATGGCGACCAACATCGACGCCAACTTTACCAGGCCCAGATCAAGACACGCCTGCAGAGGTCCGGAGAGAGTCTGCAGGAATTTGAAGCAGACTTACGTCGACTGGTACACCTGGCATATCCAGAAGCACCGGAAGGGTTTAGGGAGGAACTCGCCGCCCAGTGTTTTATCAGCGGACTGAGGGACAACGAGTTACAGAGGGCGCTGCAAATATCCCGATTTTCTACCAGCAGCGAAGCACTGGTCAGGGCGCTGGAAATAGAAGCTGCATTTAGCGCCATTCCTAAACAGAAGATAGGCTCGGTAACGGTTGAGGAACAGCCAAAGAGTTCTCACATACGTTTGGAGGAGATGTTTAATAAACTATGTGAATTACTAGTGAACAAGAGAGTCAACAACATCCAGACAGAGAACCAAAGAAGATTCCAAGACATAAGTTGCTATAGATGTGGCAGGAATGGCCACATCAAACGGGATTGTCGCATCCAAATGCGATTCCATTCACCATCCAGAGAACATCGGCACATCGGAAGATCCCAGGACATAAGTTGCTATAGATGTGGCAGGAATGGCCACATCAAACGGGATTGTCGCATCCAAATGCGATTCCATTCACCATCCAGAGAACATCGGCACATCGGAAGATCCCAGGACATAAGTTGCTATAGATGTGGCAGGAATGGCCACATCAAACGGGATTGCCGCGTCCAAATGCGATTCCGTTTACCATCGAGAGAACATAGGCACCAGGAAATCAACACTAATGAGCGAGTATTGGCTGAAAGAAAACAGAGCCCCTAGGATGTTTTTTCCGTTAGGAGTCTAGGAAAACCGCTGACAGTTTGGTGATCAACGGGAAGGTCAATGGTAGAAGAATTCGAATGACTGTGGACACAGGCGCTATGGTATCGTTGGTGCGGACTAACTCGGTGCAAGGATTGAAAATGATGCCTCTTAGAAGAAGAGTGTATTTACGTACAGTTACGGGGGAAATGACCGCTGTACGGGGAGAGGCTTTCATGGAATTGGAGTTAGGGAATTTGAAGTTTCGGCATAGCGTTTTAGTGGCTGACATTGAAGATGATTTTATCATGGGTATGGATGTGATCAGTCAACATGGTTTTTCGTTTGATCACCATAGAAACATCCTGAAAATCGGAAATGAGGAATTTTCTGTATCTAAAGAGAAGAGACCAGGAAATATGGAAGAAAGATCATCGAAAATTGTGATGATACCTGGTGATACCAAGAAGACTGTGTTCGGGAAACTAGAGAAACCCGCTGGGTGCCGTGTAATTATCGACAACGACCTAGATCGACGACGAGCTACCTTGGACAAGAATATGCAACATCGCGAAAGCACTATCAGAGTAAAGAATTTTAAACTGAGAACTGACGAACAATGGACGACGTTACAATTGAGGAAAGATCAAATGGAAGATCCAGACATCGGAGCAATACTGCGGCTCAGGGAAGGTAACGGCGAGAGACCACCATGGCAGGATATTGCGGACTGAGGGCTCGTTTTCAAAGCTCTCTGGGCTCAGTGGAATTCACTGGTGATTGAGAATGGATTGTTAAAGCGCACGTGGGAAAGTGCGGATGGCAGGACAGTAACAACTCAGTTACTGGTACCAAGGAAGAAAGTTACCCAGGTATTGGAAGAAATTCACGGTGGTAGAACTGGAGCCCATCTTGGAGTAAACAAGACCTTGAGCAAGCTGAGAGATCGTTTTTACTGGGTGGATTATTGTGAAGATGTTAAGAAATGGTGTCAACGTTGTAAGATTTGCGCAGCTAGACAAGGACCAAGTACTCGATCTGGAGGAAAAATGGAACAAGATAACGTTGGACTGTCGTTCGAAAGAATCGTTAGGAAGGAAAGATTATTGGGAATTCATAAGGCCGTGAGAAGTAAGATTACGCTAGCCAGTGACCGGATGAAAGCTCGTTACGACCTCAGAGCTAATTCTGCGGATTTCAACAGGACGATATGGTATGGTTATATAACCCACAGCGCAAGAAAGGGAGGTCCCCAAAGTTAACTCCAGCATGGGAAGGTCCTTATACAGTCATCAAGAGGATAAATGATGTAGTGTACCGGATTCAACGCAGCCCTAGAAGTAAGATGAAAGTAGTTCATCTGGATCGATTGAAGAGATACCAGACAGGAAACCTTGATCGGGACGATCAAATTTGAGAAGGGGGCAATGTCAAGGTGTATGTGGCGCCATCTGTCGGAGAAGCGAGCAACTAAAACCGCAACGTGTCCAGAAACCTGAAGACAATATTTTGTTGTAGCGCCATCTCTTCAAGTCGACAAGTAAGCGAAGCAGACAATAGAATGTACTAGTAGATGGCGGACCTGTCCCGATAATTTTAGATTGTTCGCTTGAAACACTCACCACAGCTATATAAAAGGAGCGCTTACGACAGTTGGGGAAGTTTAAAGTTTTTGAAATTTGAATATACCGCGTGGAAATTGAAAATCGGACAATTTGGTGAAGGAATCTTATAAATAGTTAGTTTGTTGTGTGTTATAAGTTAGTAATTGTGTATAAAGTGAGAAAAATAAATTCGTTAAGTATTTTATCGTGAGTTTAAATAGTGGACCCACGGAATCCGTAACAATATGTACAATAATACCTTTTGTACCTATAATAAGTTACTTTTGTACCTACAATAATAATATAAATAATAAGGCAATCGGCAATCGGGTATACAAGAAAATTTATATTAAAAAATAGATACTGAAGTTTAATTTTGACTGTCTTGATAACCATTCAGTTCAGAATTGTTACTCAGATGGATTTTATAGAGTTTATGATCAGAAACAAGTTAACAATCTCTTATAGTAATTTAACACGATATACTCACTTGAATCATTTTATTTTTTTGACCTTCCCACGTCATTCGTTCATCCCATAAAGGTTCTTTTTGGGTGCAAATAAAAAACGGTTCCCATACCATATATCTGCCTTGCCTTTTTCCAACAGAAAATACTCCTAAGCCTTTGGTTTCGTTTGCTAACACCCAATTTTCGCCGTTAATGACCTATAACAGAACAACATTAATGCAGGAGAATGTATTTAAAATCATTTGTACTTAAAATTATACATACAGGTAGAAAGAAACGTAACATTTTTACTCTTATAAACTTAACTTGCTTATACGTATCGCCCAATTTTTAAAAAAGTAACTTTGTTCTTTGTTTATTGTATCGATTTTGTAATTACTAAAACTAATATAGAATGTTAATTTACCTTTTCAAAAGTCTTTAATTATGCAGATAAACAATATTAAATTGCGATAAATAGATATTAGACAACACAAAATCAAGGCACACTTCGATACAAAGATGAAAAACCTAATATTTCTCTCATTCTTAGAAATAGGCACCCATAACTTTATATCGTTCGAAATGGTTAAACGCCAGCATTTTTTTAAGTTCATAGCCAACTATGATTTTCATTTAAAAAAATATATTTTTGATTATTTCTGACAAAAAGAGCAAGCATAGAAAAAAACTCACTACGCCACTGGATTGTGCTTAAAAAAATGCCTTAAGAACGTCTTTACAGAATTTTATTATTCCGCGTTATGGGCAATTTTCAAAATGGTAAAAAATTCAAAAAGACCCCGTATCCCAGTTGGCAGTGAAAATATCAACGGGCGGTTTATGTCATTAAAAGTATCTCAGAAATCGAGCCCATGTCATCTATGTCGGTTTTGCTCTATCTAGTCAGGACATAGGTTTTCTCTGCTAAAACAGACCAATTCCGACCACCCTGTACAACGAACTAGTGGAAAGAAAAGACATTCTAATAAATAACACCGAACTGGAAATTGTAGAGGAATATATATAATTGGGACAACTAATATACAGTTCGGGATCTCTATTACCAGAAATCAACAGAAGAATTAAGTTAGCAGCATGGAGTGCTTATGGAAGAAACTCAATCATATTCAAATATAGAATGCCACTCTATCTAAAGAAGAAAACATTCGACCAATGTGTACTACCAGTCATGACCTATTCACACATTATGACACTTAAAACGGACATGATAAGGAACCTGCAGGTCGCACAACGCTCAATGGAACGAAATATGCTGGGAATAACCAAAAGAAATCGTTAAAGAATAGAGTGGATACGACAAAAGACCTAGGTAATAGATGTCATCCATGGAGTCAAATCCCTCCAATGGCAATGGGCAGGACACATAGCAAGAAGAACGGACAACAAATGGAACACAAAAATTACAGCATGGTACCCACTAGGAATTAAGAGACCTAGAAGAAGACCGAAGATGAAATGGGACCATGATATTAGGAAATTAGCAGGGATAACTTGGGCACGCATAGTCAACAATAGACAACAATGGACCCAACTACAAAGAGAGTATCTAAATATGTGAGGGAGGCTACACCATAATATGGAAACGGTTGAATAAGCTGAAAATGATGATGATGATGATGATATTAAAACTGACGAAATAAACTTACTCTATGGCACAAAGCACACATCTTCTGGTGAAACAATATCGCTGTATTACTCTTCAACATTTTCTGTAGCGCAGTTTTGTTCTCTGGCACTGCTTGATCTTCGAATATTTCAAAAATGGGCAGTACAAATACGTTCTTGGAATCCTGGCCGAATAAATTTAAGTTGTTCTTGACAAAGTTCAAGAATAGTTGTATGAAATTTCTTGTTGGATACAATTCTATGTCGCTAGGAAACTGGAAGTACGTTCTGGCTGCTAGTTTGGCGATGTTGCGGGCCGTGTTGATAGGGTAGAGAAGGCTGTTGTTGGTTTTGTACATATCCAGATCTGTTAGAGTTTCCCATGGAGGTGGTATGGAGCAGTTGTATGTGTCTGTGTAGGTGTCCAGTATATGAGTTTCGTTCTAAAATATGAATGATATATTAAGCGGCCCATAAACAGCGTACACACTATGCGAGAAACAATTCGAAACATGTCAAGGACGCATTTCGTCGATCAACTTTGACGCATTTCGATTTATTTCCAGTTGTCTTGGCCCACTTGAGTTTGCCTCGACCTACTTTCGATTCTTAAAAGCGCCTGAAAACTACTCGTGAGGAGGGCGAGGGGGATTTTCTTGGCGTTTTTTGTTGCCTCGTTCAATTTTGTTTTGTTTTGAGCTATTTGCAAAACGTGGCGGTATCTGTTCCGAGGCAAAGGGTTTTTTTCTCATAAATCTCAGTAAAATAAGTAAACCTAGACGTTTCTAAAATAGCTGTTGTTAGGATGGTATTTCGTTAATTACATCTCGATTTATGTTATATTGTAATACGTGTTTAGTAATATGTATAGTAGATATTTATATTTAGGAACAAAAGTTTTCACTTAAACTGCAGGAATATAATTACAATATTTTTATGATTTAATTTTATTATAATGAATTAGTATATAAAATTGTATATGATATGTTTGTTTACGACCTTAATTGATTAATGCAAGAGTAGTATTGCTTGATGAGTAATACTGGTAACATTATCAATATATCCGCTTGGGAAAATTATTAATTGACCCTATGTCAACAAAGTTATGGTCCACAAACATTATTTAAAAGCAATGTTCTTTTATTGTTCTTAAGAGAAATCTGTAAACGATACTGTTATTAGCACCCAGCATGTTTTGACATAAATCCATTCAACTAGTATTTATTATGCAGGTATTTAGACAACTAAAACTAGAAAAACAAAACCAAATTCGTAAACTAAACTTTGTTACAGACTACAGTCCTACAGTATAAATGTTACTTTACCATAACCAGAAATAATAATTAGACAATTTTTTAAATAATTTTCTGTATATTTTGTTCATTACCGCGCAACACCGTGGATTATAAGCCGATAAATGGTAGACCGCTAGTTAGTCACCGTTTTAAATTTTTTTACTATATTTTAATTAATTATATTACACAATGATTAAAACTAAATATCCTTGTGTAACCTTCAAGGAATAGCCAATTTAATTTACCATCGGTAACTGTTTTCATATCAATATTTCCAGAAATATTTCTCAAAACATTTCGGGGATAGTCTAGCGCCTGTTATACATTATCAAACAAATTGTGCAACACAGGCTGTTGCGCAACAAGTTGCCAATGTATGGCCCTGTTTGATGCGTTGCGCAATTGCTTGATAAGTTTCAAGAATGTTTGAATTCTGTTGTTCAACGGCACTGTTGGCGCAACGCCGTTGAATAGTGTATTTGTGTGTTGCGCTTTCGTTGTGGAATATTTTAGTTGCCAGCCGGTTTTTTTGGAGGGACGTCGCTTGTTTCTTGAACAATGTACAACTTTTAATAAAAAGTTTGACCAAAATATTACCAAGTGTATGGGTGATGATGGAGTTGTGCAACGCAACGTTGTACATCGCTTTGTTGCGCAATTTGTTTGATAATGTATGGGCCGCTTTTAACCTAACCTAACACAAAAACTTACCCTGGGTATTGGAACATGGTTGATATCGAAAAATACATGGAATGAAACTAAGTCCTTAATGAGTCGATTTTCGCATTGTCTGACGTAAGCTATGGCCTGCAAGGTGGTGTAGAAATCATGCCCAGGGGCGTACAAGGCTATACTGACAGGCCCTCTCCACCTTTCAACAAGCGGAGCCACATTGTCCAAAAACCTAAAAAATACCTTATTAGCATCAAAAATCTACATATTAATGATATCGCCAAACTAATGAACACGAAAGAAGAATCAAAATATTTGTATTATTATTACATTTATCTAAATTATATAGTAATTAAAAATGTTTTATATTTGTTACAGCTATCGATTCTTTCATTAAAATTAGCATAGACGGTATCGTTATTTTAGACTGTTATTTAGAAGTATCAGTGTGCAACAATTATTAAAAAATAACAGGTTTGAAAATATCAGTACGTTGATAGCGATAAATGTTTTTTAACAATAAAGTTATTAAATAGCAATTTCAAGTGGTTATTTAGAAATAACATTTTTAACTTGTTATTTTGAAATAACAGTTTCAACTGTTTTATAGAAATAACGGTAATTTTTTATTATTTTTTGCAGCTATCAATTCTTTTATTATAATTAGCAGCGACTGTTATTTAGAATTATCACTTCATAACAATGATTAGTTACAAAATAATAGGATTTACACAGTGCGATGATAACGATGGCTGTTGTTTAAAAATAAAATTATTAAATAACAGTTTAAACTGGTTATTTAGAAATAACAGTTTCAACTGTTATTTGGAAATAACGATTTTGTCCAGCTCTGATAGTTACCACAGCTGAGGTTGAATTTTAAGCATTACAATTATTTTTAGATAGAGGGTTTTCAGATTTATTTTGTAGCCTGTGTTTGGAAATCTTGAATTTGTAAAATCTGTTAAATCATATATTCTTACTCCTTATTGCTTTCTACCATTATTATCAACTTATATTCTCGAACTTAAAAAGTGACTGTAAAAAATTATATTTTTTATTTTTATCTTCTGTATTTATTATGTATAACACACCCAAGAATTTCCATTTGGGGTTTTCAACATATCTAATAATTAATCTCGTCCAATTGGTTAATAAGTATTTTATTTTTTAATGCATTTAAGTATCAATAAAATCAATATATTGCTGTCATTATAATTCCTTAAATTATGGTACGATTATAAATATATTAGTTTTACTACACTGGTGGGAAAGACAAAATGGCAGACAAAATTTAATACTGCAATATAGTTTATTACTCATTACAGGTGTATGAGTCGTACTAAAAATTGTAAAGAAATAATCAAGGTTCGTTTTTTAAACCATTAAATTTTTTCTTACAATTTTTTTAACTTAAATTAAATAAAAGTGTTACATAGCACCATTAAGATCATGTGAGGTTTATTTATTCTTTAATTATAAGTAAAATCGATTAAGGAACTATTTTACGTATTTTAAAATTTGACAATTAAAATTGTGAATATCAACAAAAATTACATCAAGTCGATGAGATTAAGGTAGGATTATTCTATCTCTATTAATTAAGATTTCAGAGGTTTTTTGTACGTACTATTATTGTTCTATTTGTTAATAAGTATGTTCTTTGTATATTTTTATGTTTTAAACTATTTCGGCGTATAGAACAATAAATTCTTTAAATAAATTTGTATAAATCTCTTTCTATATTTGAGTAAGATAATCATGAGGTAGAGCATCCTACTTTCATTTGGTCTTGTATAGATCCAAAGCTGGCAAAACTGTTATTTTTTTATAACAGAGGGAACTGTTACCCATGTTTAAAAATAAGAGATTTTGATACTTTTTTGATGTTATTTTTAAGTATTCGAAACATCCAAAGTAAACTAGTATTTTAGTGAATATTTGATCTGAAAGATTATACCGTGTACACGGGTCAGAAAATCCCATGTTAATTTTGAAGAGGTCAACTATTATCCCCCTAGATGATTTTATGCAAAAGTTGTATTAGACTTGTTTGTGTAGAATTTCGTTTCATTTGGTATAGTATTCATTTGACAATTGTCAAATTTGAAACGAAAATCCAAAATGAAACGAAATATAATTCCAAATGAAACGAAATTCTACATAAAAGTACAACTTTTACGCCTCTTCAAAAAAGTTCAATACTACTTTTGCATAAAATCATCTCGGGAAATAATATTTGACCTTTTCAAAATTAACGTGGGATTTCCACCACACAAAATAGTAAATAGCTAAGTAAGACGTCAATTGTTGTCAGTTTATTTTTATTAGAAGCGTTTTTTAACAAATTTTAATAATTCTTAATATCGTCGCCTTAATCGGCAATATGCGTAACTCCACATTTTTCATAAAATGACATTTTTGTGCCATCTGGTAGGAAATATTACAACCCATGACTTGCAGAAATCCGTATATCCAAAATTAAATCGGTTTATTTGGCATTCCATAAGTAGAAAACCTCGTATCTCCTTTCCCGCCAATTTCAATCGGCAAAATCCGTAAATCCGTCGGTTTGTTATACATTTTCATGGTGAACACATGTATAACAATGTTATGTGGTTTATTGGCTTTGCTGCAGTGATACTAACATCTTATTTTGTATAATTAACTGTTATAAGGTAAGTGTAATTTCTATTTATTAGGTACAGTACATTTTTAGAGTCAAAATTAATAAACAGAGCGCTAAAGGCAAAATATTATTTTTAAGGGAGTTACGCAGTTTTCGTGTTTTATATTTTTAGTAGTTACATTTACTCACATAGGACATAAGTACTTTTCTTCACGTTTGTTATAGAATTATGAACATATTTTAACCTGCTTTTCAGTTACAGAAAATATTTTGTTTAATCAAGTATACGAATTGACAGGATCTTTAAAGCATTGGACGTTGTAAAAAGTAATACACAATGCAATGTTAACGAAGCGCCAGTTAAAAATAGCGTATATAAAAAACCATTTAGCGACAATCCGGATTTCAATGCAACCTTAAAAAATAATGATAGTTATAACTTAGATCTATCGAAAACCATTGAAGAAGCCGAAATTATATTTTTAAACAATGGTGGTAAGTAATCATTAAACCTCTATGTAGCTAAACAAACTTGGCATCTAATTGTAGATGTACCAATAAGCGAACTTATGGTTGCATCCAATAATGCTGAATGTATATTATCTGAGGAACAAGAAATTCAAATGCTGGTAAAGGACAGAAGGGGTAGGATTAATATGATTGAGAGTGTCATTTCACTATCTAAGTTTTATTTTTAGAAGAAACATTAGCTTCAGTGGACTTCAATATGGAAGTTGACCGGATATTTAATGAAATACCTTCCTGTTCAGCAGTACAACCTAGTAGATCTGAGGTAACTATCAATATTCACGAGACACTGATTAAGGAAAACATTTATGGAGAAACGGATAATAACGATCCCGATTTTAATCCAGCCTTAAAAAATTAGGATACCTCTGACTCAGAAGATGACCCTATTGCCGTGCCAAGTAATTTACCGGACGACAACATATTGGAAGATGAAAACCCAAGACGAAAACGATCAACAAAATACGAAGTAAACAGAAACGAATGGTATGAAAATAGAAACCGAATAAATAGAGAAAAAGGAAAATCCTATTTAGGGAAAAAAAAGGAAGTGGAGGTATGATACTGTACAGGAACCAAGATTACTAAAAGAGGCCTGTAACTGTAAACTAAGTGCAAATCCAAAATGTATTTTGAAATGTAGACAGATAGCGGAAAATGAGAGAGAAATTATTTTTACGCAGTTCTGGAAATATACTTGGGCAGAAAAGAAGATGTTCGTAAAAAACCATGTGTCCGTAGAAACCACTAGTAGAAAGAGAGGATATAGAGAAGTTTCTAGAAGATCATATTCGCATAATTTTTTTTTGGGCAAGGCCAGACTAAGGATGTGTAAAGTAATGTTTCTTAACACATTAGGGGTGAACGAGTGGGTTATAAAAAAGTGGACAAAAAATAGCGACCAAGTCCATTTTAACCAGACTGAAATACCTGATAAAATTAATATTTCTGTTCGTTTGCTGCATGAGTTTTTTGAAACTCTACCAAAGTTAGAGTCGCATTACTGTAGGGCTTCTACCGCTAAGCTCTATTTAGAACCTATTTGGAATTCTAAAGCCCATTTATATAAGGTTTATAAAAACGACTACTGCAAAACACGTAATGAAAAATCTGTATCAATTGCCACTTTTCATAAGGAATTTGACAAAAAAAGGTTGTCGCTTTATAAACCAAAAAAAGATCTATGCGACTGTTGTGTCGCTTATCAAACAGGCAATTTAACAGAAGAAAAGTACAATGAACACATAACATTGAAAAATGAAGCAAGAAACGAAAAGAGTGCAGATAAAGAGTCTCAAGATGAAGTCTTAGCAATGGATCTCCAATCGGTTTTGCTCTCTCCAAAATCTAATGTTTCTTCGCTTTATTACAAGACCAAATTAATCGTTCATAATTTCACAATATTTGACGTCAAGCGCAAACAAGGTTATTGCTACCTGTGGAATGAGTCTGAAGGCGGATTAACAAGTAACGAATTTTCAAGCATCATAATTCATTTTCTGAAGGGACATCTAGAACAATATCAATTAGAAAATCAAAATGAAATTAAAATTATATTATGGAGTGACGGGTGTGGATACCAGAACAGAAACACAACTTTATCAAATGGTCTGTTTAATTTTGCACTGGAAAAGAATGTAACTGTGGTACAAAAATATTTACATAAGGGCCATACACAAATGGAAGTGGACAGCGTTCACTCTGTTATCGAAAGAAAGATCCGAAACAAGAAAATCAATATTCCCGCAGATTACGTATTTATTTGTAAAACAGCATGTCAAAAAACTCCTTACAAAGTTGAGTACCTTATGCACGACTTCTTTAAAAAATATGATGAACTAAAATATTTCAAATCCATTCGACCAGAAATAATCGCTGGAGCACCATTAGTAAACGATATAAAAGCCTTGAAGTACTCAAATGATGGAGTTTTTTTAAACTTCGTCATTCAGAAAAAGATTGGCAAGCTCTTCCAACAAGGTTGAACATAAAATCTATTAAGGCAACTAATATAGATAACTTACCGATACTACACAAAAATAGGCTAAAAATTAAAGCAGAAAAATATGGACACC